TAGAGGAAGCTTCCCTAAGAAAATTTTCTATATACTAGTATTGGTTTTACCAAAATCTCAATTGCTCAGATTTTACCAATCAAAGACTGGCGTCAAAAGGGGAGTGAAAGCCTGCTAGCTCAGAGAGGAAGAAAAGGAAGCACACCAGCTGACCTTCCTCTTCTGCCCTTGTCCCAGAAGCCTCTCTTCTACCATCTCCAACAATGTCCCTCCCTTCTACTTCCTGTATGTCTCTCTAGCCAACCTCTTGACTCCCTTTTACTTTCTATGCTTATTTCTTAATAAGTTTATATTCACTTCCTGTCAACTGGCTACTTGCCCTGACTCTAGACCTATGGCTGACTTTTTTAATCTTGTTAAAAAAATATTCAAGCAGAAAACTCTTGAATTAAAGGTGTGTGCTAGGGGTAATCTACACAACTAGAAGCAGGTTTTTCCAGTAACACAATCTAGGGGTTCATAGCATGATCAAGTATCCTGCATCATACTAGTTCTTAATTATTCCTGAAGTTTTCATAAAATAGACAATAAAATGGGCTTTTAAACTAGTGCTGTTACCTCTATCTAGTGAGTAAGAGAAAACTTGCTCAGGCTGAGTGGCAAATGTACCATGGGTCTGCCCTGTGTGCTTCTGAGTCACTAAAGCAATGAGAAGAATCTTTCTTACTTCAGTATGTACCTCCCAATCCTCTAATACAGGTTCAATGCATCCTTGAAGTTTACAAAGCAAAAAATATAAAAATGCAAACATTCTTCTTTATACTACACACTTTCACAACTCTCAATTCAAATATTGTGTAAGTTTCAAGCTGAAACATTCCATCCTGAAGGAAGCTCCTTAAACCAAAGGTAAACAACTCAAAATAACTTCAGGAAGTTTCTGAAACTGACCAGATTCAGTAGGCCCCTCCCTGCCAGAGTAAACAAAAAAACACGGAAAGCCCTCCCTCTCGAAGGAACTGAGCTGCAAGGAAGACTCAAAGAAGGAAAGTTACAAAAAAGACTGAGACCGGACCAGCTGCCTGGAAGAAGCAGTAAGCAGCAGATTTGCCTGGGAGAGGGTTTGACTCACAGGCACCTGGAAAAGACACTCTCCAATTTGTTGAGCTGCCTGCAGGCTGTACAGTGTCCTCCAGGTTCCGAGATGTTTGTGAGCTGTCACCCATGATAGGGTTGGCTGTGGCCATTCAGCTGTCTTTTCTGCTCCTGTAAGCAACCCCTCACCCATATTCTGTAAGTAACTCCAATAAACTCATTGGTTCACCCAAATTGGATCCATACCTTGGTCTGTTGTATATTGTATATAGTTTTTCTTATATTAGTTATAAACCATTTTTAAAAAATTTTAGACAAAAAAGGGGGATATGTGGTGATATCTTGTTATACAAATAAAGCCTGTCTGAAGGTCAGAGAATGCCACTAGCTAACCATAAAGGTTTGGAGGTCTGTACAGATAAACAGGAAGTGAGGTAGCTGGATGGAAACAGGATATAAGCAGGGAGAAACAGGAACTCACTCTCTTGTCTGTTTAGACTTGAAGGAGGTAAGGAGTGGCAGTGGCTTACTCCTTCTCTGACCTTCAGACAAGCTTTATTTGTACAAGCAAGATATCACCACAGCTGTGGAATTCCTATCTGGGGTGAGTAGACCTGTGTATTGCATCTCCCCAGGAAATGCCTTGTCACACAACTTCTACTAACAGGAGAACCAGCTGTGTACTGTGTGTGTCACATTGTCCCGAACAATATCTATCTTCAGGGCAATGAGAATGCATATTTAAAAGAGCCCCACTTAGGAAATATACTTTGTTCAACTTCCAATTCTATTTAAACTACTACAAAGACTTCCAAATGTAAATTTAATTTTATGTAGCAAGGAAATACAATGAATTCACAACACCTAGAAAGTCTGAAGTTGGGTTTCTTAACTAATACTTTTATCATTTCTGTGTATAGTCTTTGTGTGCATATGTGTGTGTATGTGATGCTAAAGATCGAACTCAGAACTCTGAACATGCTTGTCAAGCATTCCACCACTAAGATATCATCTCCAGTCCCCACCTTTTTTTTTTTTTTTCCTTTTCTTCTTGAGGCAAGGTCTTGCTATCTAGCTCAGGCTGGCATCTACCTCAGGGTCCTCTTTCTTGCCTCAACCTCTCAAGTGCTAGGATTATAGGCATGTGCCGTGTGTAGGAATTATGGGTCATTTTACAAAGCAAGAGTCTGTGTAATAAATACTGTCTCTTAATTGTTGAGAAGGACTGGGATAGGGTCTGCAGTGTATATGACCAGCAGAAATAAATGGTAAAAGACTTAATTGGACCACAATATTATTTTTATTGTTTTTATCATTTTACTCGGATATTAAGGTCCAACTTGGGCTTCATTTAATTCTTTTTGGGCCATGAAATAGTTGTGAACCACCATAAAACAGATCTTTGTTAAACATTTATAGTATCATGTTTATATTCATAGCAATCATGCTTAAAATAGCAGTAGGGAAAAAAAAGGTCTTTGGTGGTAGTTGTTTTAAAGTCCCAGCTTAAACAAATGTCAGAAGACAACCTTGAGTTTATCTCCCTCCCAAACATATTCTGAAGGATTAAAAAAAATTAAAATCACAACAACATTTCCACTCAGCTTGAAAACACAAGCCCCACACTGGTTTCTCTGAAAGACTAAAAAGTAGATGAAGCCCTGCATATTCTAGAAGCTAGGACATGACACATAAAGACATTATTAGACAGTGTCTAACAGAGACCTACAGCATTTCTTCAGTTATACACATAGCCAACTACTTCCAGGCATAGGGGACCACCTGGAAACAGAACATAGCTTTGTGCCCTAAAAGAGCTTCTCCAATTCTCCAATGGAAGGTTCAGGAATATTAATGCCATCTCATAGTCTTTAGACCTTAAAAAATAAATTTGGTGGAGAAAAAGCTCAGCAGTGGTTAAAAGCACCGACTGTTCTTCCAGAGGACCTGGGTTCAATTCCCAACACCCACATAGCAGCTCACAATTGTCTCTACCTCCAGGATCCCACACCCCCACATTGACATACATACAGGCAAAACACCAATAAAAATAAATTAAAAAGTAAATGGTTATTATGAGAGAGGAGACAGAGAGAGAGAGAGAGAGAGAGAGAGAGAGAGAGAGAGAGAGAGAGAGAGAGAGAGAGAGAGAGAGAGAGAGAGAGAGAGAGAGAGAGAGAGAGATTTTGATTGATTGAGGGACTAGGGAAAAGGTTCCAAGGATATGGTAGTTTAAATGAGAACAGACCCCATAAGCTCATGTGTTTGAATGCTTAGTCATCTGTGAGAAAGGGATTAGGAGGTATAGCCTTGTTGGTAAAAAGTGTGTCATCTTTAGAAATGGGCTTTGAGGTTTGAAAACCCCACTTCAGGCCAGGCCAAGTCTCTGCCTCTCTCCTCTCTCTTCTCTTTCTTCTCCCTTTCCCTCCCCCCACTTCTTCCCCCGATCAGAATATAAAGCTCTCAGCTACTGCTCCAGCACCATACCTGTCTGCTTCCCACCATAATGATCAGGGACTAACTCTCTGAAACTCTAGGCAAGCCTCCAATTAAATGTTTCCTTTTAAGAGTTTTCTTGGTCATGATGTCTCTTCACAGCAATAGAACAGTACTAAGGTAGAGAGTAAAGACACTGGCCACCAAGTCTTACAATGTGAGTTCCATCCCTAGAACCCTCATAGTAGGAGGAGAGAACCAATTTTTCTTCAGGTTGTCCCTGACCTCCAAATGCTAAGCTGTTATTTCCTCTAATAATATTCTTAAAACAGCATGAGGGTTTCTTCCCCCCTTCTAGTATCAGATAAAATTCTGTTTGTACAGCCAAAAAGATGAAAATTGCAAATTACTCAAATTTCATATTGGCAAGCACTTTGTTCCACAAAATTGATTTACATAAATTTCTGAAAACTAGAATTGCTTTTTTACATCAAATTCTAACACCATGATGAAAACAAGACCAATAGCAAATTTCACACAGGCCTGAGGAAAGAGGGGCAGCATTCCAAATTAATGCAAGGAGATAAGTGCTTCCTCAGAAGTACATGGAATGACGCCACAGTAGCCTGGAGGACGCAGTCATTTAAAGAGATGTTCTAACTAGGGATTGGTATCCAAAATAACTAATTAAAAACTAAATTCATACAACTTGAACAACAATCTAAGGAAAAAAATCTTAGCTAAATATGGGGGGACAAGGCCAGAAAGAAACAGCTTCAGATGGTACCACAAATGACAGCTACAAAGCAAGAGTGTCTAAAAATTACTCCAAACCCTAGTCCAACATAGGGCCTTTCAGGGAACCTGGTTAGTAGGTAGGCTCTCCATCTAACCTGTCTGCAGCTACCACACATCCATTCATTGTCAATACGCAACACACACATACTCACTCCTTTCCCCATCCAAATGACATTAGCAATTCATTGCCTAGACTATTTCCTCATGGTTCTTAAAAAAACAAGTATTCGGGACTTTAACGAATTCAAAGAAAGTAAAATGCAAATATTTTCTTCTAGTTACAGATAAATGACAAAAAGCACATGAATGTATGCTTTGTTTCAGATCTAAATTTTTCATTTAAGAACAGGAAACCTGTCGCTCAGGAATATCACAGCTCTTTAATAACCAAGCACTTCATTCTTGTTTCCCGGGATTTGACACATAGACTCACAGATGTCATGTGGCTATAAGACATGCCCTCAACACAATAATGACAAAAATCACAATTCATATTTTTTAAGATGAAAGAAATCTTGCTGATAATCTTGATTCAGCAATTTTACAGTTAAAATTAATTTTTCTCTAACATACCCACTGACCTTAAGGTTTTCATAAACATTTTCCACTGCAGAAACTGTAGTCAACATTTACCAATGTCCACAAAATATCTGGCTGGGCAAGTTGAGTACCAGAAATCTCTCAGTCAGCATGTGCTTCCCCTGACAGAAAGAAGAACAGCTGCTACTCACTGGGAATCTTTGGGGTCCCACGGCAGGCCTCGGCTGGCTTGGAACTGGCAGCAAGGGCACTGTAAAAAAAAAAACACCTTGCATTACAATCACTTGGCATCAGACTGGCTGGGAGGAAGACAACACATGAGATCTCACACAAAGCATACACTACATACACTGGGCACACGTAACATTAAGACTTTACCTATAAAATCATCTCATAAAAAAAAGAAGGGAGGCTATTTTTGGTCCCAGAATAAAACAGTCTGATATGAAGCTTAAGTTCTAACAGAGAATTACTATTTAGAATTAAAATATTTTTTACAACAAAAGGAGATAATTTTCTTTTGAAATAAAAAGACCTATTTTCAATAGGATGTGACATGGTAGATACACTTGTAGCCCCATCATTCTGGAAGTCTGAAGAAGGAGGACTGTTTCAAGTTTGAGGCTACATCTGAGCTACACAGTGACCAGCCTGGGTTACATACAGTAAGGCCCTGCCCAGTTACACACAAATTGAAACGTGAATCCTATAGAATCACAAAAGAGGGAGAGAGAAAAAGAGGCAGGAAGAGGAAGGGTGGAATGATGCTCATATAGCCTTACAGAGAATAACAAGAAAGCAAACTACTGTGCTGACACTTGCAGGTTGGTTTTGTTTTCAAAGAGATCAAATTCTCACCAGTCTACTAGATCAAGAAGTCCACTTGTCTTAAGAGGATATCTCATTGTAGCAAAGAAGTGAAGGCTTAGCCCTTAGGGCTAGAGCATGTAATGATGCCCTTTAAAATGTGCCACACATTATACTGATCTCACTGACCTGGATTTGGAAAAACTCATCACTGTTGAGGTGTGGGACCTTGCAGTCAAACATGGTGCTAGATACACCCAGGAAAACTCCCATTATGAGCACCTTAAATGTGATGCATTTGGAGAGGTCTTTAAAGAGGTTCGAATGGTGAGCACTAATCCAACCTAACCAGCATCCTGGAGAAAGGGAGAAATGCAAACACATGCTCACAGAGAGACCATATGAGAACATGAGGAAGCCATCTGCAATCCAAGAATTAAGCCTAGGGGAATTAGCCTGCCAATGCCTACACCTCTTGGTAGTGCTTGTTACAGCAGCCTCAGCAAACTAATAATCAGTTTTAATACAGTACAACTTTAAGAGGACTCTGCGAAATGAGAACTATAGATACAAAAATGCACCTGAAGAAATCAATCCAATCACTTTAAAATAGTAACACACTTAACTTTTATGTTCCAGTTACAACATGAATCCCATACATTAAACTTTATGATGGTTAGTATAATTAACATCACACTTTACAGGCTCAATGTTAACTGATTGTGTGGGCCATCTCACTATTTGATCAAAAGCAACTATAACTGAAACTTCCTTTCACAGAATGTCAAACTAGCAGAAGTCTAAGGCTCCCTGAGGGTCTATTCCAACATAAACTTCCTATAAGAAGACACACAGCAACCAGGCATCTAAAGGGAAAGAACAAGCTATATTCTGAGGGGAGAAAAAAAAAAAAAAAAAAGAGTATTCTCATCTCAGAAGGTTATAGTGAAGGTGAAGAAAAAAAATGGCACATTTAACAACAGATGGACAATATTTTTAAATCAAGTACCAAATATAAAACACCTAGTTCCTCTACCAAACCTCATTTATAGGAACCAAACAATTCCAACAAAGCACAATAAGAAGCAGGAGATGAGAGCTGATTCTAATGAATGGGTTTGTTAACATGATCTCTTAGGAGCTGGCAACATTGATAAAGTCTCCAGCTATTTTCTTCAAGAAATAAATGGTATACAGAGCTCCCAGAGGCACAGGAGAACATGGGAGCAGAAGTGCTCCTGCCCAATCTACAAAGCAGTAGGATCAAGACCCAGGCCCTCGTCATGCACCACATGAAACAACCTTCGATGCTTCCACCAGTCTAGTTAAACCTTGAACCTGAAAATTTGGTATTAAGTATTTATGTAGACTCTTAGCATGCTGTGTATCTAATAGAAGGCATTTTCAACTTACTACAATTTAAGGATACATATCTGGAGAACAACTTAAGCTTCCATCAAAATGATTTAAGTATATTACAATGGAGCAGTCTTTTACCCTCAAAAGAAAACACACTAATTTAAAAGACATCTCAGTAGAAAAGCATTTACCTAGCACCTAGCACTGGGGAGGTTCTCAGTTCCAGCACCACGTACATATACACATGCAAGCATATACATATAATTACTCAGCAAACTAATTATTATACTAATTATGAGAAATTTTCAGAGGGATGTAGAGATAATTCAGTGGTTAAGAGTGCATACTGTTCTTGTAGAGGATTCAAATTCATAACCTAGGTTGGACAGCTCACAACCACCTGTAACTCCAGTTCAAGGGATCCAACACCCTGAACACCTCCAAGGTCATCTACATACACAAGCACACACCCCTACACAGACGCATATATCCACATAATTAGAAATAAGTTTCTAATCTTTTTTACTGTCTGTCTTGAGACAAGGTCTTACCTGAAACTATATAGACCAGACTGGCCCCAAAGTTGCCTGACTTTGCCTCCCAAGCACTGCTGGGATTAAAGGCGTGCACTGTAAAGACTTTAAGTGCACTTAGCAGTTAAGACTCTGAGAAGTGCTAGTTTAATCTGTACTTTGCATATGCAGGACACATCCTAGCACTTAGCCTCTCCCAAGAACTGGGGCTTCAATTTAATCTTATTTACAAAGTACTAAATGATCAAACACTGCTAGGATCTCACATGTGCCCAGCAAGAATTAAGGTTTTCTTAACTCCAGCATCAGGTACATGAAAGACAAGGAACGAGCAGCAACAAGGCTCCTAGGTTCAGGGTGACCTTAAGGAGCTTCAAGTGGACTCAACGTTTACTGTGTCGCTCAAGCTCCTGGGTGCAGGATCTCCATTTAATACTTTCCCAGTCCAATGACTTCTAGCAAGTGACACCATTTGGCCTAGAGAATATTCCAGGATCTCTTTACAGCTTTACTCTCTTCCAGTACAGTGCTATCTTATTTCTATTAGGCTAAAGAAAGAAAGTCTATGCATCTTACCAGCTACCAGTTTTCCACTGAAATTCACAAGGAAATACATAATTAATTAATGTTGGTATAGAGCAACTATTGAGAAGTTCAATTTAGGGAAACAGAGAAGACTCTTTTTTTTTTTTTTTTTTTTTTTTTTGGTTTTTCGAGACAAGGTTTCTCTGTATTGTTTTAGAAGCTGTCCTGGAACTTGCTTTGTAGACCAGGCTGGCCTTGAATTCACAGAGATCCGCCTGCCTCTGCCTCCCGAGTGCTGGGATTAAAGGCGTGTGCCACCAATGCGCGGCCAGAGAAGACTTATGTTGGGGGCTGGAAGGATATCTCAGAGGTGAAAGTGTGGCAACAAGAGTTTAGATCCCTCGCACCTGCAGAAATGTCACATGGATATGTAACCAAACTATAGTCCCAGCACTTGGAAGGCAAAGATGGGGAATGCCCAGAATAAGCTAGCAACCTGATTACCCAAACTGGTGAGCTCCAGGTTTAGCAAGGAACCGTGTGCTTTCTCAACTTGTGAAATTTCTCTACCTCCTGAGCTCATACTGTCCCTTTCTCAGAAGCCCCAAAGTGACAAGGATCCCTCCCATTCTTTCTGACAGGTGGGCTCCTTCCCAGCCCCATTGCTGTCCCAAACCCAGAACCAAACCTCAGGCCACCTAAAGCTCCTCCTCTACTTTGTAAAGTCAGTTCCCGAGTCATTGCCACCATCTTCGTAACTCTCAGTCCCAATCCCACTGCACTTCTGCAAGGCGGCGCCCTCCTTCCCATGTAGCTCTCAGCATTCCATCATCTCTCTCCCTCCAGGACCAATTTCAGGAAGTATCTTCTCCTTTGCTGTCTTTTTCTTCACAGGACCCATCAATTTCAGGTCTGGTTTATCTACTACTCTATGAACACAGCTGTCCATGCTTCACCCAGAATAAGAGGCAAGCACAGACAGTGACACACAACATTGTGCCAACTCTCATCTTTAGTCATTTCTCTCAAATTTGGGGCTCACTCTTTCCTGGTCTGTTCCCAGAACATGGCATCAAGATTTCTCTCCTCGGAATTTCTCACATATTCTACCCCCAACTTGTTCACTAAGAAAACTATGGCCATCACAAGATCTTATCCAAGATTCTGCCTCTTACTACCGTAACAAGCAGGGCCACCTTCTGCACTCACACTGCCCCTGGCCCCATGTCTGTAAGTTCCTCATTCCTACTCCTGGCACACAGGGTCCTGCCAAGATAAGCTTTCCCCCTGTGCAGCTAGCCCTCTAAGTATGGCATGTGGCTCTCCTTGCTTTAACTGTTCTCACGCCTGCTTCCCCTTCCCCAAAAACAACAACTTAGCTTTAGAGAACACTATGGAAAAAAAGCCTGTCAGCACACATCAGGACCTTCCCATTCTGAGCACAATTTAGTCAGGCTCCTTCTTACCACTTCCATTTCACAAGCCACTAGCAGAACTGAGGTCTACCTACAGTCAGGGCAATCAACAGCCTACCCAGCAGGGCTTCCTCAACTCCCCAATCTGCCCCCAGCAGCTCTGCCTAATTCATAACTCCAGTACCCTAAGTCTTCTCTATATACCCATACCTCTGCTAACTGCTCTAGACCAGTGGTTCTCAGCCTTGTTAATGCTGCGACCATAGATAATACAGCTCCTCATTGTTGAGGTGAACCCCAACCATAAAATTATTTTTGTTGCTACTTCATAACTGTAATTTTGCTACTGTTATGAATCTTAATGTAAATACCTGGTCCTAGGCAACAACCCCCGTGAAAGAACTGTTCTACTCCCCTAAAAGGGTCTGGACCCACAGGTTGAGAACCACTATTCTAGACCCTCTACACCAGCAATGCCCAACTTGAACTGTTCGCTCAGATCAATTGCTGATTAGTAACCTCTACCCTCCCAGGTACTCCGTCTCTTTCCCCTAGTCATCCAATACACCTGGATCACGTGCAGCCTCCAGCAAGCTGGAAACACTTCTCCCGCAGCCTTCCTCCAAACATTGCAGCAAGGTGATCCTTGATCATATTGGTGCAAACAGCCCCACTGATCCTGACCATGAATTTTAAGTCATCATAAACATGCTCACAACATCTTTATTAATCAAAATAGGGACTATCATTATCAACACATTTTTGCAATGAGAAGTATGTATATTCCTATATAGCATGTCTTTATCCATACTTCAGGATTCAAAAACTTTCAGAAACATTTTCTGAATCTTGCAGATTATTTTCCCTGCAAAATGTCACTGAAAGAACACGCACCTTGAACAGGGGTCACCACTGTCCCCTTAAAGTGTGGATTGATGTGGATGTTCTTGGGCTGCTGAGGAGTCACTGGGGGAGGGGTCAGCATCATCCTTGGAGTCTCGATCTGGGGTGGCATGTGCACTCCCTGGGGTGGGGAGGGATGATGGGGGTGCTGTAAGGGGAGTAGAGGCTGTAGCTGCTGTTGTTGGAAGAGACTTCTGATTGGCTGCTGCTGAGGTGGTGGGGGTGGTGGAGGAGGCTGTGGCTGTGGAGGAGGGATTAATCTTGGAGAGTGAGCCTGAAATCACCAAAAGAGAAAAATTAACAAATCAGCACTTCGAAGAAAACTAAGTAATGCTGACATGCTACCAAGCTTCTATCATTTAACTTTTGAGAAATAAACTTCCAGTAACAACTTGTACATAAATTTTGTACGCAGGATAAATAAGCTGCACCACAGATTCACAAGATAGCACACAGCCCAACCAGTCCATGGCAAGGATAGAAGAAATGACTACCCAAAGCATACAGCATGAATTCTGAGAAATAAAATTCAGCCCAGGAAACAAAAGTATCCATAACAAGCAAAGCTACCCATAGCTTCTAAGCACAGCCTCTCCTCAAGGAGACAGACAGGAGAGAGCACTAAAAGCCTGCCACTGAGAAAGGGTCAGGGTAAGAAACTGCTTTGAGAAAGTGGTATCTGGGCCAAGCTTGCACTGCAGAAAAGGGATGCATTCTTGCTCAGAGAGAATTAACAGACCATGAATGGAGAAGACCAGAAGAAAGGACTTCCTATATGGTCAAGAAGGAGAGAGGGATACAGCATATAAAGAGAAGGTAAGAGGACAGGGACCAAAAATAAGCAAATAAATAAAAGGACAACCCAAAGTGGCCCTGCAACCTGCTGCAGTCCTTTATCTCAAGTCCCCATGGGAAGGTTGTACAGGAAGCAGCAGGCCTATTCCTGACATTGCCAGAAAGTGAGTTGGATTCAGACAATCTGATTCCATGAGTTTTGCTTTTACCCACTACTAGTGCCAATCAGTAGTCAAAACACTTATAATTCAGCTATCTAACTAGTTGTTTTCCCTGGGATGATGCCCAATTATAGTCTCTGCATTTCAAGTGGAAACTACAACACATATGGCAAGGAAGTCCCAATGATGCCTTCTCTAGGAAAGTAGGTGACTACTCATCCTGTGAGATGGAAAAGATGAACACAGGCCTGTCAAATGGCAGACAGAAGAGCCACAGTCTGAGGAAGGACAAGGAGAGACACCAGGGAACAAAACAGGAAGACTAAAACGTTAAATTGTATATGGCATTGGTTGACTGTCTTTCCTCAGAAAGGATGTCCCGAGGACTCAGGAACCAATAAACCTGAACTCCCCTCTTTCAAGACCCAGGGCAATCCCTTCTGCTCATTGCCTTTACACACCCAAGTGTATAATTCATAAAATCAGGAAACTGTCATGTGTTGTCTGAGCTCACTGAAGGAGGCTGGCACTGAAATTGGGTGTTGTCCCCTCCCCATTTCAAACCCTGGCACATTTGCCTTGGGATTGAGTGCCCCCTAACTTTCTGACAAGGAGGGAAGAGAAGAGCAACTTCCTAAAAGTAAAAATATCATGTCACTGATAATACCTAACAGGCAAACTATTTGTAACAGATCTTACTATTGTTATCCCATGATATAAAAATGTGTGAAACAGAAACAGGAATTTTAGTCATGGGAAGCTCATCAACAACAACAACAAAAAAAAGCTAAACTGGAAATGCCTTTAATTCTTTGGTTTCTGCTGGATGCTGTTAAGTCTGATTTAAATGCATGGCTGCTGGTCAGACTCAGTCTACCAGCTATTTGGTGGCAACGCAACCTACCAGGTGGTCAGTCACCAGGAGCCAAAGACACAGCTACTCTGTCAGAATGCTAGTTACTTTTTCATTTTGACTGGGTGTTAATGGTATCCAGCCCTCTCTCCATTAACCTCCCTCACCTGTAAATAAAAAAAGGAATTCTGGCCGGGCGTTGGTGGCGCACACCTTTAACCCCAGCACTTGGGAGGCAGAGGCAGGAGGATCTCTGTGAGTTCGAGGCCAGCCTGATCTACAGAGCATGTTCCAGGACAGCCTCTAAAACAATACAGAGGAAACCCTGTCTCGAGAAAAGGAAAAAAAAAAGAGTTCTGTGGCACTCTTGATGATGCAAGGCCAAGCTGGGGCATAACTTGCTTACCCTGATGGAGAACCAACCAACTGGGTGCAACAGAACTGTGTATTGATGTCATCAAACTTATTTTTTTCTTCCTCTGGAGTACATTAAAACTAGATTCAGACATAAGATCAACAATCATCCTTTCTACTTCATCATCTCAACAATGGATAGATAGTACCTGAAACATTGCTAACAAAGGCCAAGAGTAGGGGTATGTGGTATACACTAGGGATACATCTTACATTATGTTTCTTCCTAGTACTGACTTCCAAAGGAGAAAGCCATGAAGTTTACTTCTAGCTGAACAAAAGGACAGATACTCAGAAGAAATTTACCTAAGTTTACCTACATAATTCAGTCTCAAGTCATGAACAGTTTTATAAGATACAATTAAGAAAAACTGATAGTGAAGGGAAAACCTATAGAAAAACACTCTATCCAGGCGGTGGTGGCGCACGCCTTTAATCCCAGCACTCAGAAAGCTGAGGCAGGAGGATCTCTCTGAATTAACGACCAGTCTGGTCTACAAAGTGAGTTCCAGGACAGCCAGGGCTGTTACACAGAGAAATGGTCTCGAAACCCACCCCCACCACACACATACACAAAAAGAAGCACTGAATAAAATAATCAACTATGACCTAAATTCTATCTGTATTAACATCAGCATATCAAAAGCACTGCACTTGAGAGGGCTTCACTGATGTAGGAGAGAAAAGCAGGGCTCAGTTGTAGCCACACTAGCCACCAGCTGTTCAATGCAAGTGCTGAGATGCATTTTTTAACTACCCAATAATGGAAGGACCAATCCTCAAACTACAGATGAAATCGTACCATAGACCAAAACCCAGAAACTTCAACCACTGCTTCTACTGCTTCAGTGTCATTTCAGAAAAGGTGAATGTGAATTGTGCCTTTCATTGCTCCAGAACTGGTGGATACAGCAATGAAACGCCATACTCACCACAACCGGAGGCTGTGTAGGAAGCAGGGCGGGCCTGTGCTCTTTCATCCGTGCCCTCTCACTGTTCTCTCGCCTCTGGTCTCCCATTCCACGGCACATCAGAGAGCCTCCTCGCCTTCCTCCCCGACGGGAACCATAGCGTCCCTGCTTATGCTGTCGCTCTCTTTCTTCAAATTCAAGCAATGCAGCTTTGGCTTCTGCTGAAAGCTCTAAAAAGATGTACAAGTGTTAAAATACAGCCTACACTACATACATCTGTGTGGAGAGAACAGTAAGAACCAAGTAGCAAACTCTTGATACAAGTATCAATATATCAAAAATGCTTTCACTATCACATAGTATGCCAAGTGAATCTTAAAAAGCAGTCAATGTTAACGGATTATCACAGTTGGAAACTGTCCTCCTCTACCACTGGGATCCAATTAGGACAGTAAAAAGATGCCACTAGCTGGGCATGGTAGCTTTCTTTAGTCCCAGCACTTGGGAGGCACATGAGTTCAAGGCCAGCCTGGTCTACAGAGTGAGTTCCAGGACAGCCAGGACTACACAGAGAAACCCTGTCTCCAGAGGGAGGGAGGGAGGAGAAACTGCCACTAATGAGTAATGGCACAGAATCAGGAAAAAATACCCTTAGCGTTCTGATGTAAATCAAAGCCACTACTGACCTTCTCCTTCTCAAGTAAAATTATTAAGGATAACTCCTAAAGAATGGAACACTCATTAATTGCATTTCACTTTAAACTTTTACATTCATTAGTATATATGTCATGATATAAAAAGACATTGTGAGTACACGCAGACAGACACAGACACCTTGTCAAATGAGAGGAAAAGCCACACAAAGAAAGGCTGGCTACTTTAAACACTGCAGGAACTTTACACAGTCAACTGTGTCTCTCCCATGCTTTGGGAGTACAATGAACATGGGCATAGACCCTAAGAATCTTTCAATAGCACATTATTCTAAGCCCTTTAATCCAAATAGGGTCCCTTTAGTTTACAGTAGTGCCTAAATGTGGTAATATATATTTTATTAGTAAACATGTATTTTGTCAAAACATCACTGAACTCTACTGGAAGTCTTCTCCACTGGGAGTAGATTTTAAATATCACCGGAGTCTACTTTGCAACCTCAGACTAATAATCTGTAAGCTATGACTCATTTTCTTAAAAATGTTGATATGGTATTCCCTCTCTTTCAAATGAATATGGACCCATCTGAAAGAAAACATAATAATCTCTTTTTAACCAGCACAGATTTTTATTTTAATCTTGACTACATGATTGCTTCACACACACATTTTATGCAGTGAATCAGCAATTATTTTTCTAATGGTTCTGAGTGTCAAGATTAATTTTACTAGCCCCAGTAATAAAATGGTTTCAAATGACATCTTTAATCAGCAAGAAAAAATACTCTCCTCCAATTGAGACAAGCTGTCACAAAGGTCACCAAAATATGACAGGATAGAAATTACATTTGTAACTTCAACTGAAATGTTAATTTCCCCATAAGTGTTTTCTGAACTATGTCCAGATCCTAAAGTAAAGAGATACATCATAAAGTAACTACATTTATACTACCCATACCTTTCTTAACTAGTAGCAACATATTTGACTCCAAATAATTACAGAATAGTTAGAATGGATACATGCTTATGGAATACAGTTTGGCAAGATAAAAATGATAAATCTCAATAGGTAATTGAATCCAAAACAATTTTAAAAGAAAAACAAGGATCATAGTATAAAAAGGTGAGTATGTAGCTACTAGCATTAAGAACTGCCCACCGTCACTAGGTGAAAGGTTCTCCCCTTCCCACAGGTCTTTTGTCTTCAATGAAAGTAGCTAGGATGTTAGTTCAACAGAATTAAGATGTAAAAATTACCAAGCCTTTCCTTAAGTCAAAGTAATAAAAAGCAATTTAACATGATGCATGTGTCAATGAGACTGAACAAAAATTCAGAGCTCAGCTTCAAAAATTAAAAAGCACTTTCCCTCAGAGCCCATGCTACCTTCAAAGATCATCCAAGTCTGCTTCCTAAAACAAAAGAAGCCACTGCTCTTCACTTCTAGGCTTAGCCTAGAAAAAATGGTCAAAGTGTCCATGTGTAGAGCACACCTGGCACTTTCATAAACAATGAACCAACTCTTTACAGATATGGTCTAGCAATCTTGATATCTTGATCAACTGGGCTCTACCAGAACATTACCACCTACACCAGTGACATCATCTTCACAGAATGATTTACATTCTGAGCTCAGTTGTGTGTCATCCTTGGGAAAATAGAAAAAAACATCACTTACGTAGTCTTCTGTAAGGTTAACTTATAAAATCCTGACTGAGGAAAAAAGGCTAACAAATTAAATAAGACTAATTTAAATGAAAGACCCAAATTATATTTTTAACCCAGCCTGAAGTGAATATCCCAATAAGCAACTGAAATTTAGCCCTTAACAGTGCAGAAGATCATGTGTGCAAATTAGTGCTCTTTACACGAGGCAACATTACGTGTTTGAAAGTAACCAAGCTCCCTTCCAGATCTCAAAAAGAACTCTTCACTTCACACACATACTTTCAGAGTCAGATATGGGAGATACCATGGCAGCATTGTATTCTTTATTTAAGAATATTCTTTAAAGGACAAAAGATTCTCAACATTAATTAAGGCTATCTATTACTAAGGTAGTAAGTTATCTGTGGGTTGGAGATGGCTCAGGGTTAGGATCACTGGTTACTCTTCTACTGGACCAGGGTTCAGTTGCTATCATCCACTTAATGGTTCATAACAATCCACATGGCCACTCATAACCACTCCTAATTCCAGTTCCAGGGGATCCAGGCCCCTTTTCTAAGCTCCAAAGGCACCAACGCATACATGTGATACACATACATACATTCAGGCAATCACTCACATAAATCTAATTTTTTAAAAGTTTTCATTTTAAATAATAAATAAAACTTTAAAAAAAGGAATCAACTATCCAAAAACAATACATCACTAGAGAACAAAGGGACTCTAGCAGAAACACACTTTTATGTCAGTATGAAAGCAGGCAAGCTGCTTTACAATTCAATAAACTCCATCTTGGAACTGGGGACACAAGCTAACAGCTGACACTCACGTAAACTTACAGCTCTCAGAGGCTGTGGAGCCCTTCCCTCTTCCTCACCAAGCCTTGCATATACCCACTAGCTGGGAAGGTGTGCCCATTAGCAGGAAACTCCTCCTCTCAAGAAACCATTCTTCTGATGGGTAGTGACATTCTTTGCATATTGAAAATTACCCCAACTTTGATGTTACTGGTAAACTTTGCAAACATTAAGCTTCCTTATATTACAACTCAGAGACAGAAGATTTTGGGGGGGAGGGGCAATTGAGACAGAGTCTCACTGTGTAAACCCTAACTGTCCTGGAACTTATTCTGAAGACCAGGCTGGCCTCAGACTCCACCTGCCTCTGCCTTGGAAGTGCTGGGATTAAAGGCATGTGCCACCACTGCCCAGTGAGACAAAAGAACTTTTAACATTTGCCTTTGTCCAATTACCTAGCCAAATTACCATATTCTACTTAGTCCTTTTTAGAAGAACAGTAAATAATCAAAATGTTTCCCCTTATCACACCACTTCTAAGGGTTCCATGCCCTCTCTTCCCCACAGTTCCAGGGGTGCAACTTGTCTACAACAGAACAACACTTCTAGCCTTTTGTCTCTGAAGACCACTAGTTAGAGCTGCCAAGTACTTGAAAAGAAAGCAGACTTGACAGCTCTCTGAATAAAGGAAAGTATAAATGACTCATAAAAGAAGGAAAAAAAAAAAAAAAAAGGAAAAGCAAAGATCCTGAAAAGGGGATGTACCAAACGAAGTATGAAGAAACAAGTGGAACGTCTCAGAACAGCCATGCTCACATCCTGGGAGGGAGGTAAGTGAGTTTTTGATGATGGCAGCTTAGTGTTCACTGGGAGAATTTGTAGGTGCCCCTGAAAGATACATACAGTTTTTGCCTGTTTAGTAGCAAAAACAACCATGTGTGGTTTGAATGAAAATGGCCCCTTAAAGATTAGGGAACAGGAGAACCCCAAGTGGATGAAATCCTGAGAGAATACGTTTTTGAGATGTATACAATTATTTTTGAGGACTTACATCCATGTGAGCTAGGCTCAAGAAGAATGGCAAAGCTTTCCTTGGAGTCAGAATCCAATTATGAACAACTGATCTGTGTGGGCAAAGAATATCAGCTTCCTCCTCTAAGACTTTTATAGCCTGAGACTGCTCCCCTATCCAGACTTTCTACCAAGACTAGCTATCCCTTTCCCCTGTGTTATACATAATGAAAAAGCTGAGGTTCTACCAAGTAACTGGAGGTAACTCAAGGCAGTGTTAAAGGAACTCGCCTTATCCTGGCTTCACTGTATGTGTGCCTGCCTCTTCTTCATTTCCTCACTGTTCCTAGCCAGGGTTCCAGGCCCCAAGCGTTGAGAGACAAGGTACATGGATTCGTATATTTAAAAGCTTGGTCCTAGTTGGTAGAACTGTTTGGGACGGATTATGAGAGATGGATGGCCTTGTTGGAAAGGTATTGGGGGGCGGGGGTACGGATTTGTGGTTTCAATCTTCAGATGACTCACACCACTCCCAGTGTGACTGTGCTCTCTCTGCCTCCTATCTGTGGACCAAGACTTGAGCTCTCAGCTGTTCCTGCCACCATTCCTTTGTCAAACCCTCTGTTAACTATCAGCCAACAACACTTTTCTGTAAGTTGCTTTGGCCATGGCATTCTGTCACAGCAACAGAAAATAACTAATACAAACCACAAACGATGGTGTTTAAAGATAAAGGTAAGGGACTAAGATGTGACTGCCAACTTCAGTAGCAACACACGCATGCACACACGCACAAGAGGTCATCAAGGTAATGAGGTCTTGATCTTGATTTTTATGTAGATCCAAATAAAAAGTGACATAGACTCTGATGTCCTATGGGTCTTGCTTCCTCTTTAGAAAGCCACACCCTGGTGGGCCTGTTCTTCTAAAGCTCAAGCAGCACACTGAAAATAAAATCTTCCTGCGCACTGGCTGGGTCTGAAGACTCAGGATGTTTGGGAATAGCCCCAATACTACTTTCAAAAGTTCCACTGTTAGCTGGGCCATGGTGGCACACACCTTTAATCCTAGCACTCGGGAGGCAGAGGCAGGTGGACCTCTGTGAGTGAGACCAGCCTGGTCTACAAAGTGAGTTCCAGGACAGCCTCCAAAGCCACAGAGAAACCCTGTCTCAAAAAACCAAAAAAATAAACAAATATATTTTTAAAAGTTCCGCTGTTTTAGAGAAATGCTTCTATTACTAAACAATATTCCCAGACCCTGGGGTGATTGTGGCACTCTAATTAAACCCAATGGTCAGTGGAAAAGAGCACAGACTGTGGATAGGGATAGTGTCAGTGCTGCCACCCAGCAATAGTCTGAGGAAGGTCTTCAACAGCAGACTCTTGACATCCAGTTAATGATCTCTATAAGCTAGCCACTGAACACTGAGGAACAACAGACAGAGAGAACCCAAAAGGATGACTACAAGGATATTACAAGTGCAAACTAAAACCAATTTGGACCAGATTTATTGCTGGCTACCTGAGGGGCAGTCTAGTAGAAAAGAGCCAGTATCCCTGTCAAGCATGCCCATATCACCACTTCAGGTAAGTAACACAGGACATGAAGGAGAGTGGCTTTGGACCATATACTCCCAAAGAAAACCACTAAAACAATAAATACTTTTTAACTATTTCACTCAAACACTTATAGTCCAGAAGTGGTTGTCTGGCAGAATGATTAGCACAGCACAGCTGAACACTAGCCTCCCACATATCACACACCCTCACCAACAATCAATCATTAGATATGGAGACACCTGAAGTAGAAATTTGGGGAAACATGCCAAAACAATTTTTTTTAATTACCCACAGGTCAAAAACAAAAATTACCCAAAGTTTCTGGAATGTTCCTTCTCTCTCTAGTTACATCTGAGAGCCTAATAATTGTTCCTTCTTTCCTTTCAGTTTTGAAACGCAATCTTCCAGATTCTTCATCGTCATCATCTTCTTCATCTGATTCTTCTTTTATGTCTTTCTGGAGTTCCAGGGTTTCCATTCCTCCCTACAAGCAGACAGAGATAAACAGGGAGAGGTGAGTTCACAGTCACTTAAGATGTAAGGACACTTCTAAGATCCTAGGAAAAGGCTATGTGAAACATGAAGACAACTCCAGTGGAAAGAAAACTTCATGTAGTAAAAAGAAACTTGCTTTTGGAAACCCCTCAAACTCCTGCCTGTAGTTAAAACATAAGGACTTCCACACTGCTGTACTCACACTTGCTAGAATACAGAAATCAGATGAACATCCCTGCTAACTCCAGACCACGCAAAGTTCCCACACAACTTCATTTGTATATAACTACAATGTAAGCTGACATCTGTAAATCCACACCATCGAGGTAACACTAGAGTTAACAATACAGAATCCATCTCATAGCTACAATGGCGACTTCAGCCATGTACGCTGAACAGCAGTTCCGAGCCACACACTTTGACTTTATGTCAGCTGTTCCTGTCAGTTTTGGGGTTTGTGGCTGCTTGCTACTGTTCTAGTCTTCACTATGTCTTCCCTTGCAATTTATTTCACTCTTGTTGTCTAGTGTTAGCTTATCACATACTTAGTGTTAAGACAAGTAAAGACAAAAACCATCCCTTCGCCACTTTTTCATACTGAAACCAAGCCTTATTTTGGCAGAGTCCCTTACAAAAGTTCCCTCTAGTGCCAACCCAAACTAAAGCATATTTTTTCATACACTTCTTCTTTCTGAGCTCCGATGACCCTGTTACCTTCCTCTCAGGTCAGTCTCAGTAGCACACTAGCAGCCAAGGACAGGCATGCATTGAGTATAGGGTTCATTTAGACACTTTCTAACAATGTAAAAAAAAAGTGCAGCTTGCCTCTTAATTATCATGAATCATTCTTTACTCTTAAAAGAAACAAAGACACACTGCTAGGAAATAGAAAAGAAGCTAAAACCAAAGCATCACTGTGAATTGCCTTTCCTAAACATTCTCAATGTGAAAAGCTAACTGTAAGACAGATTCTATAACAAGTAGTGCAAACAGAACGCAGCTCCAGGAATCACAATGCTGAACATGGAGACTGACAGTTTACTTTTAGTCTAATAAAACTATGGCTATTCAGTTCTGTGAGGTTCAACATGGCAGAGAATTCTGCAGCCCTAGAATCTCACATTCTTGCTAATGTAACACTACCTTTTCTATGTCATTGTATACAACTCTGAAAATAGAGTGAGCCCTCAAGGCACCAGTACCACAATGACCCTACTGAACCCCACATGCTCATGCAGGACTGCTCTGTGTTAACATGCACACCACTGACTAGAATCCTGATCAGAAGCACATTCTGACCTTGGAAGGCTAGAGTGGAACCTCAGAGTCCACATTCCTCACAAGGTCCCAGGAAGCCCAACTCTTGGATCCACAGACCACATTCAGTAATATGGCCACAGAGAGAAAAATCATGCCCACCAAAGCAAAAATCTTATTGCAGCAGTTATAAGAATACAATAGATACAAAGAAGGGACTACTAAAATTTGGTATTCATTAGAAAATCACTACCAGCAAACTAGAATCATAAAGAACATCATCTTCAATCTGAGAGCAAAACTCAAGCTAGCACTTAGTGCCTTGCTCCTAGCACTAAAAAATAAGGCAAGAAAGTCTGCTTTGAAGCTATTCTTCTGGTATACACAGCACTTGCACTGGAAGTCAGTAAGGCAAAAGAAATAAAAGGATTCTGATTACAGAGAAAGAAGTAAAATGCTATCATTAACAGATAATTTATTAAAATATTAATCTGGGGGCTGGAGAGATGATTCTGTGGTTAAGAGTACATACTGCTCTATCAAAGTATCTAAACTGAAATTTCAGCAACCACATCAGGTGATTTACAACCAACAGTAACTCCAGCATTGGCAGATCATACACCTTCTTCTGGTATACATGGCCACCTGCACTCATGTACATAACCAAACACACACACACACACACACACACAAATAAATAAATAAAACCTTTAAAAATTAAAATTAACTTAAAATAATGAACTTGTCCATTTTGATCTAGAGATACATGGCCATCTCTATCAAAACCCTAGTAGATATTAACAACTCCATTACACAAAAGAACCTTAGAAAGAATAAAGTTGGTGGGTTTATACTATCTGGTTTCATGTTCCATTATTCCAACTGCTATATATAGCGCTAACATAAGGACTTTATAAAAACAAATTAATGGAGCAGAAAAGCCTGAGGGTAAAAAAAAAGTCAGTTGACAACCCAAAACTACACTGATTTGATGGGAAGGAAAGCCTGCCTAGCAAACCAGTGCAAGAGCTGGAGAAACACTTTTATTTAAAAACAATGGATTGCTCTTTCACACCTCAGATGCTATTAGACACAGCAGCCTCTAACTCTAAACTAACACTAGCTAATGACACAGACCTTCCACAAGAAAAGAAGAAGCTAATTTTACAATCATGGGGTAGTCAAAATTTTCTCAGGCCACAAAACTACTTGGTCTTCATCCAAGTCATTTTCTACATAAAAAAATTAAATTTGGAGAAGGAGTCTAGCTCAGGGGGAGAGCATTTGACTGCAGATCAAGAGGTTCCTGGTTCAAATCCAGGGACTGTAAGTTTAGGAAGGAAGCAAAGGGTAATGAAAGGGTGGGAGGAAGAACTGTGGTTAGAATGTAAAATGAAATCAAAAAAATGAAAAAATGGAAAAAATTAAATTTGGGGGTTGGAGAGATGGCTCAACAAAAGACCCAGGAGGTCTGACGCCATCTCCTCTGACCTTCAAAGGCACTGTACACACATGGCATACCAGCATGTATATAGGCAAAACTCCCATATAATTAAAAACATTTATTTGTTTATAGCCATACCACCCTGAACACATCTGATCTCATTTAAAGCACCTAAATTTAAGAAAATGAAGACATAATTCAGAGGCTCAGGAAAAAATCTCACAAACCAACAAACTTGATATCTAAAATACATAAACACGTAACTAGCAACCACTCTTGAGATTACAGACACTAAGAACATACAAATAAACTATAGTGTCATATTAGACACAGAGCAAAGAATTACCAGGCTATATTCCACACCTCCAGAGAAGATAGGAAACAAGGAGAACCTTTAGGAGAGACATACATGATCCCCAGAAGAAAGGGAAAGGGACTAGATCTCCTGAGCGAATTGGGAGCATGGGGGGAGGCAGAGGGAATTAGGAGAAAGAGGAGGGGAGAAGAGGAGCGGGGAGAACATAAGGGATCAGGAAGATTGAATCAGGGAAGAAAAGAGATAGATACCTTAATAGAGGGAGCCATTATAGGTTTAAAGAGAAATCTGGCACTAGGGAAATGTCTAAGAATCCACAAAGATGACCCCAATTAAGAATCCAAGCAATAGTGAAGAGGGTACCTTTAATGCCTTTTCCCTATAATGAGATTGATGACCACCTTATATGCCATCCTAGAGCCTTCATCCAGTAACTGATGAAAACAGAAGCAGAGATCCACAGCTAAGCACTGAGCCAAACTTCTGGAATCCAGTTGTAGAGAGGGGGGAGTGATGAGCAAAGGGGTCAAGACCATGCTGGGGAAACCCACAAAAACAGCTGACCTGACCAAGTGGGAGCTCATGGCTCCCAGTCTTGACATCTGGGGAACCAGCATAGGACCGAACCAAGCCCCCTGAATGTGGGGGACTGGAGCAGTCTATGGGGCCACTGGCAGTGGAACCAGTATTTATCTCTAGTGCACAAATGGACTTTGGGAACCCATTCCCCATGGAGGGATGTTCTCTCACCTTAGATTCATGGGGAAGGGCCTAGCCCCTGCCCCAAATGATGTAATGATGTGACAGACTTTTGATGATCCCCATGAAAGGCCTCACCCTCTCTGAGGAGTGCATGGGAGTGGGATGGTAGTGTTGGTGGGGGGGCATAGGAGGATGGGAGGGAGAGAGAACTGGGATTGATATGTAAAATAAGATTGTTTCTAATTTAAATAAAACTTTATTAAAAAGAAAAACCTATACTGTCTCTGTAAAGTACAAATATATAAACAATACAATGAAGACCTTATATATTCTGTAACTTATATAAAAAGACAACCTGTGGTTGGGCAGTGGTGGCGCATGCCTTAATTCCTAGCACTGGGGAGACAGAGACAGGAGGATCTCTGTGAGTTCAAGGCCAGCCTGGTCTACAGAGTGAGTTCCAGGACAGCCAGGACTACACAGAGAAATTCTGTCTCAAAAAACAAAAAACAAACAAACAAAAGACAACCTGGTTTAAAGAAAAGACAGCTAAAACCAAACCCATGGACTATTATATAAAGCCCAAAAGAATATATGAACAGTACTCAGTATCATTAGCCATCCAAGAAATGGAAGCAAAACCCAAAATGATGCAGCCATTGAAGGGTTGAAGAAAAACACTGGTACCAAATGAGGAACAATGAGGACTCTCAACCAGATGAAGGGTCTAAAACGGCACAATCACTTTTAGAAAACCATTTGGTAACTTAAACAAAAAAACAAACATCATGCTAGTCTAGTCTAACATGCTAGTCTAACAACAAATCAAAAAAATGTATATCCACAAAATGGTGAATATTCATCCATAACACAACAACAAAAAAACACTAGAAACAACCCAATTATCTAACAAGAGGGGAAAAAACGTAAGATACACCAATAAACAGAATAACTATTGCTACATGTATGGGTGTAGCTCAGCAGCACATCCCTTGTTTAACATGCTTGAGATTCTAGGTTCAATCCCCAACACCACAAAAACAAAGGGGGTAGCAAGTATACACTATGATGAACTTCTAGTATAATTACATCAAGCAAGATGGGAGAAACAATAAATAGTGTTAGCCTCTGGAAAGACAGGACTTTAAAAAGCCAGTGTTTCCTGGCTTACGCCATTTCTTTGCATTGGATGTTACTATCAGGGCTTTAGTCTACTCCAGTCTTTCTTCTGTGAGTGCTGGACGTAAAGCAGCACTTTCCTCTAAGCTGAATCTGACTTTTTGTACTTTGTATCTCACTCCTTTAAATAGATTAGTGTAACAGACTCTGCACCCTCATTGTGCAGCTGCAGAAGGTGTCTAATTGATTGTTAACATTAGGGCTCTAAAAGACTATTTTGGTCTTTTCTGTGTGAGTGCTGGGTATAAAACAGGAAACTTTCCTTTAAGCTGAATTTGACTTTCCTGGAGGGTAATGGGATTGTCCCTCATCAATGACAGTAAGGTAGGATAGAAAGACAGGAAATTATGGAAAGGAGCCCCATTCTGTAGTTTGGGAGAAATATCTCACCAGTTTGTAAATCAAGGATTCTAGCATAATTACCAAGATATATCATGAGGGCTATCAGCAGAATCACAATATTCCTTTCTTGCAGAGATATTTTTAAAACAGAATGCTAAAATATAATGAATCACTCTGAAGGCCTTAAGTTTGTCCTTACTCTTTTCCCATATATTTTATGAGAATCACATAAACACTTTAGTTTACAATGAAAACATTCAAATTCAATCAGCCATTCCTATGACCTCATCAGTTGAAATCCTATCAAAGCACTTCAGGAAGTACCTTATGATTTCATTTAAATTTCTCAGCACCTTGAAGAACCTGCAAGTATAAGGGTATGTGGCTCCTATCAAGACAGATAATACAGTGTGACTGATGCTGGCAGGGGTTCTTATCTTTTCCCTGGGAGTCTCTTTTAACAAGGTGTAATCCTCATTCTCTTATTCTCTCCTCTCTTGTCCCTCCCCTGCCTCCACCCCTCCCCTATCCTTTGCTTCATACTGGTTTATCCTTACTTGTGGTAAAAGCCAGGAACCCCAGCTTCACCTGACTGGAGGTCTCTGAAAAGAAATCAAGCTGCTGTAGGTGGCTGTGCAGGGCTGTGTCTCTGGCTTGCACCCCACAGCTGCTGACAAGATGGTAAGCTGGGTATATTCATGAATAAAAACTTAAATCATTTGATATTTAAATGATCGCTTCACTGAATATAAACATTACTCAGAGAGAGAGATGGGGGAGGGAGGGAGAGAGGGGGGAGAGGGAGGGAGAGAGGGAAAGGGAGGGAGGGAGGGAGGGAGGGAGGGAGGGACAGTGAACTCCCATGATCAACTTATTTATAACAAGCCAATACTGGGATTAACAGAAAACTCTAGTCATGATGACTAAATAACCCCACAGTCTAAAAGCTATGGCTTTGACTGTTTGTTTTCAGGTTTACAAACAATTTAGATTCAGAGCATGGTGGAACTGAGAGCAAAACATATCGCCTAGCCCTTTTGACTTAATTAGACCTATTTTTCCATGGTGGACAGCAAAGGGAAAACATGGGTTCCTCTCCTATGTGGCCACTAAGGTGATTTAATGGAATGTTTACACTGCCAACACACACACGTATTAGGGTCTTTACATGTACTAGGGCGTGAATCCATCTTAGATTCAAAGGACAACATGTTTCAGGACTGTTGAGCCTGACAAGGATGGAGAGGGTGTTGAAAGCTAGCAAAGTGGTCTGACAGTCTCAAGGAAGAGGTAAGAAGACCAGGACTAAAACTGGGCTGAATCTTGAGTCACCCCCCTCCCCCAACAGCAGCACTTCCCTGAGGCCCTGCTCGCCCAGGGCCCTGTGATCATGACCAGAGGGATCTGTGCTTAAGTATGGATCCTTACATGTGGGACCTCTAATCTGACCTCAACAGAGCTGCCCTTTCAAGGCCACTGGGTACAAGAGCACACCTAGACAGAGATTCTACAGCAAAGAACAAGTAGATATGTGCTCACAAAATACACAGAACCCAGATAAATTGGGTTTGTGACATTTCTAATACACATTCCCCAATAAAGTAAGACTACATCTTCCAATAATCTCAGGTTTTACCAATATTAAAATATTTAATCCTTACCTCATGGTGTATATTTTCATGTGCTTATATTATAGCTCATTTGTTTATCTCACAAGGACATATGACATATACACCAAATTCTTCCCTTCCAACCTTTGCCCACCCAAACAGACTTCCTGGAAGCCTTTCAGCTGCTCTGCTTGCTGCTTTCAGGTCTTCTTGATTTCTATCTCAAGTGGCCTTCAAGGCCCAAGCAAGCTGAGTGAGCAGTGTGCTGGGCAGAAGGATATTGAACGCTATGGGCAACCAGGCTGCCTGTCCTGGGTCTCCAACTTTGTTATGGTTCCCTGGATTAGACACCTTCCTTCTATAACTGCACAATCAAGGTAAATAGTCTCTTACACTAGTCTTATTTTCTCTAAGTTTTAATTTATTTCAAAGAGTGAGAGTAAGGCACAAAGTACAAAAGAAAAACTCCAAATTCAGCTTAAGGGAAAGGCTCCTGTTTATACCCAGCACTCACAGAGAAAAGAAAATGCAATGTTTTAAAGCCCTGTTATTAACACTCAATGGAAATAAAGGGCTTACGTCATGAAACAATGGTTTTCGTGTATCTTTTCTCTAGACGGTAGGAGAAAACATTAAGGAAATTATTAGAAGGAAAAAATGTTAAGTTTTAACAAAGGCCCCAGGGCTAACAAACTTTATGGCCTATTATAGTCTTAGCTTCAGTACCTACCAGTTCTCAGAGAGAACAGCTTGGAATTACCAGAGCGCCCACTGTTCTTTCAAGAGTACTTCACAGGTCATATTTTCCACACAACCTCACACATGAACCCTCTCCAACAAGCCCCTTCCATACTCCTAGGAGCTGTCACTTTGAGCTGTGCATAATGATAATTTTTAGCACTGTCCTCCTATATTAGACTGCAAGTCCCTTGGGGGCAGAAACCCAGGTCAGCACTGTTTCTTCAAAACCTAAGACATAACTTAAAACACAAAACCTTGCAGTGTTTCTTAAATAATGGTCCAAATTATCTAATATTAACTAATTACGATAATTATAGCACTGATTTCAAGGTACTGATATTACACTTTTGAAAGTCAGCCCTAAATCATTTTTAACACTACCACTTGGGCCAACTATGGTCAGCAGGCGAAGCATTTATTGTACAAGCCTGATGAAGTGAGTTTGACCCCTCAGAACCCACATAATAGTAGAAGGAGAAAAGAGACACAAGTTGCCCTCTGACTAACCATGTGTGTGCCATGTATAGATACTCGCGGACTTGCGGACGGGGACGGACACACACACACACACACACACACACACACACACACACACACACACACACAAAGCATTTATAAACATGCAATAATAAAAAGAATCATTTAAAAAGACAAGCATTACTGATCCAGGGCACATACTTCTCACAGGCACCAGGCATCATGACTCACTTCTCCAGGCACAGGCTTGGGTTTCTACTACAATGCACAGTTTACAGATAAATCAACTTTCCACTAATACTCAAAGGCGGGGAGGGCTCATTTTAAATCTGGAAAGAAAGAAACTCAGGAAACTGTAGAAGTTGAACAAGTACCTCATGGGTCTCAGAAGCAACCTGGGAATCAGTAATGTCATCTAAGCCATCTTCAGCCTCACAGTCTTCCCGCACTTGCAGCCCTTGCTGCCCACCATAAGCCTGCAAGTATTCTTCATCCTAACGGCCATTGAAGAGAAGAAACAGTTTTCTCACAAAGCTTCTGGGTGTTTCAACCACTTTTCATGTACGATTCATGCAGAGTTACGTTAACACATTCTATTGTGATGCCCTGACCGACACACAGACACACAGCACAGGAGCTTCTTCTGCATGGTCATGCAAACCAAGCGTACATGCTGGTTTAGCAATGAGGAGAGTGGCAATGGCTTAGTTTCAGGCCCAAGCCCTACTGAACAGCCTTCACATCTGTGCCCAAAGGAAAAAAGCCTTACATAACCCAGGCTTGTGTGCTCACTGAGGAGCCTGGCAGCAGCAGGAGCCAATCACCCAAGCCCCTTGACAACCTAAGGCCAACAGAGACAACAGAAGTGGGACAATTTGGCACACCAAAGTGCCTTTCAGATATCACACTACAGTGGACTCTTCATCAGGCCTTTTTTCCGTTGGGTGAAAACATGATTCCAAGTTTTTCATGAACTAGAGAGGGCTTATCAGTAGGCAAGCTTGCCCATTCTGGGAGCAGGCAAGGGAGCAGGCAAGGTAACTGGAGATCACCTCTGGCAAAGAAAGCAGACTGCTGCTGGCATTATCACCAAGTAATGAGGTAGGGAGAGTGACCTGCCTGCTTCAAGAAGATTCTAACACTGCATTCCACTTTGCACAAAAACTGTTAGCAGCCCATCAAAAAGAAGAGGAGATGCTAACCAACATTTCAACCAACTAACACCATGGAATAATTTGCTACTTCCTACACAAATGGCAAATTTGAACTTAATTTAATGAAAACTACGTTTTACAAAATCTCATTTGGTGCTAACTTCACAGTGACTATACTCCAATGTCACCAACTGCATTGCTACTGAGCAATACAGATCTTACTGCTACCTGATTACAGATTGTAAAATGAAATCATGTTATGTTCATCAACACTGATGCTTGCAAAATTCACCTTACCCAATAAAACAGACCTCCAGAGCTGTGCTGAAGTCTCTCAACACCCTCATAGGTGACAGAATCCATTCTAGTCACAAAACTTGTGGTCTTAAAGATTCTATGTCCAGTTCTACACCAAATGTATGGTTTTATAGGTAGGCTCTCACAAGAAAGCCTGTGCTTGTGGGTCACATTTTAGTTAATTCTGGCTAGGACAAGAAACCAGTTTACCACTCCATGAACTGCATACCCCTAGGGTACATCAGGACATAATCTATTCACATGTTTACTGGTGCAATGACGATATGCACATCAGGAACAGTCTGAGACAAGAGCAAAGCATTCCAAAGATTCATACTGATCTCTTCCCACTCAGGGCAGTCGCTTCAGACACTACCTCTGTTGTATCCATGAAGAAAGAAAATGGTAGCTGTGGCTCTAACACCAAACAGTAAGACAGGTTGCCACTGCTCACAGAACATTCAGCTGTGAAATACTTGCATATTCAGAATTTCTAAGGGAAATTTGAAATTTCTGAAGCTTTTTATGAATTCTGAAAAAAAATTTAATTTGAATGTAGAAGAGTTCTATACATGTTTCAATTAAAATATTCTACCCTTTTAATTACCTGAATCTTGAACCACATGATACTGAATTATTTAAGTGGATTTTGTATTATTCCTGGAACTTTATGTGGTCCCAAGTTGATTAACAAAACGTTAAAGAGGAAAATTTCTCACTAACTGTAAGTTCTCTCTTCACAAGTCTACAAGAACAAAGCGGTTGAGCAAACTCGACCGAATATACACTTTTCATGCTTTTTATAGTTCAGCAATATTTTACATGTCGATCCATTAGTAAAGATGTGCTGACTATTTAAAGAATAAAGGACTGAAGAAGTGAACAGCTGATGTTGCAAATGAAAAATAACAGTCAAATACTACAAGAAAACCAGACACATTTTCAAAAGACCTCAGGTTAGTTTAACAAGCGTTTTAAATTACAACGTCTCATATAAGCAAGCACACCAGTATTAGAGGACACTGTCCACCTACTGAAGGGTTGATTACTAAAATATATCATTATAGGACCACAGACATCAGGCTCCATGATGCTGTTTCATGAATCTACTGACCACAAACTACACATACTTTCTGAGGAATAAGTCTCTATCTCCTGAGACATCAAAGCACAGACATGACCAAACTGAATATTTTCAGGCTCTTATCACCAATCCCTTGTGAAGTAGGCTGTCACACACATAAATGACCAAGAATCATTAACTGTTGGCAGCTGTCCTCAAATGCAAGCACACACTAAATGATGACACAAGTAAGAGTACTACTACCAACAAGGGTTCTACAGGTCCTAATGCTACACATCTCCGGCCCATCTAAGCAGCCCCACCACCACTCTGCCATCATGGGACCCCAATGAAATGAAACCCTTAGGCATTATGCAATGCATCAATAGTATCTTTCCAGCATGAATGTCATTAGGTGCTTTTTTTTTAAAACACAAGCCTTTTCTGATAATGTACCATTATGACAGATGTCCAATCTTACACTAGTACCTCATTCTTTCCTGGTGTTTAATAAAAATAAACACTACCTACAAAAGCCATCTTTCTGAAATAAAAACCAGCACCATCTTAGCTTGCTGATTACAGATAACAAATTATGTGTGACATTTTCTAAACCAGCCTCAATCTCTTTATTCAGGTTTAGACAGTTCTTAGCAACAAAGGAATGAATGAAAAGAGGACATCAATCACTGTGGAATATTAGCACCTTAAAGATGTCTTTAGCAGGTCAATAATCTTTTCACCTTAGAAGGACGTTATCAGATTTTGTCTAACCCTGGATAAAAGCTCTGCATTAAGCACTTCTAACACTGACAGTGCGCCTCTACCACACAAAGCTGTTTTCTTCTTTAGGTGCAATCCTCAAGGTCACAATTCTTTGCAGCCTTCCAGAATGACAAAGGAGCATTAATGCTGGCCAAACAAGCTGTCAACACAAACTTTGTCATAGCTCTGATAAAGAAACTGGCAGACAGTGATAATAAGGTCTAATTTCTCTCCTTCCCATGGGAGGTAAATAGATTTCAAATCAGTATAGAAACCTATACACAGGAAGCCATGTTATCTTTGGCCTTTCAAAAGAGAAAAGACTCACTGTAAATTCATCTAAAGGTTCATTGATTTCAATGTCCAGCACTTCATCATTGTACAGCTGCTCCTCCTCTGGCTCATCCCCATATTCTATTTGGTCTTCTGTCAACTCTGCATCATGGCCTTCATACTGTCCTTCCTCTGGGTACTCCTGAGTGTACAGTTCTTGTTCCTCAGGTTTGTGGTAGACTAGCTCATCTTCTCCTTGTTCATACTCAGACTCCTGTTCTCCGGACTGGTCATTGGTATTGTCAGACAGCTCAAATGATGTAACTATGCCAGAGGTGGTATTCAGACTGATGGTGACACCCTGAGAACTAGAAGACAAAACACAATGAAAGACACACTGAGAGGAAGCACAAAGCTGCATCAATAATGACTGAAGTGAGACTTAAACAACCACGGGTTACAAGTCAGCTCTCTTAGCAAGTACACTCTTAATCTATGAAAATATAGTTGCACTATTTTCCAAATGGCCCAGGGCCACTGACCCACAATATAGACACCACTTGTCAGCTCTGTTATCGGACCTAAAGAATGAAGTTAGCCCAATGAAGAAACTGGCCTAGCTATCAAACATCCAAGACTTGAACCTAAACGCTTTGAATCTTAATCTATTGGGGGGACGGGGGACAGGGTTTCCCTATGTGGCCCTGGCTGTCCAGGAACTCACTCTGTAAACCAGACTGGCATCCAACTCAGAGATCTGCCTGCCTCTGCCATTGGACTGCTAGTTATTAAAGGCATGTACCACCATGCCCAGCATCTACTTTTATAGAATGGAATCTAGATGGTGTGACTGTTAACAGAAAACAAGAGTACTACTCAATAATCAGAAAATCACAGGATTGTTTTTAAGACTTACTTAAGACTTAATTAAATTTATTGTACTGTGTGATTGCCTGCATGTAGTGTGTGCACTGCATGTAGCCTGGTACCCACAGGCCAGAAGAGAGCTTATGATCCCCTGGAATTGGAATTACAGGTGATTTTAAGTAACCTGATATAGATCCTCTGCAGGAGCAATAAGTGCTCATAACTGCTGAGCCCCCACAATTAGAATTTTAAGAACAATTTGGATTCTTTTTAAAAACATATGGTGTAAATTGTTAAGCTTTTCGTTAAGAAAATCAAAACATAAAAATCTGTGTCAAAGTAGATCTCAATGTTCAAATAAATGTACACTAATCACAAATATATTTAAAAAATAATTGATACACCACTGGCTGTGGAGGCTCAAGTCTATAATCCCAGCACTCGGGAGGCTGAGGAAGGAGGATGGCATGAGTTACAGAACAGCCTACACCACAATATGGTCCTTGTCTCAAAAACTAAAGCAAACAAATTGGAAATTTCTTCCTAAGAGAGTAAAAGGTCCTAAAGCCACAAAACCCATATTATACCTATTATATCACTAACTCCTAAACATTTCAAGGTAAGGGTTCAAATGCAGGAGCTGGAGATATGGCTTAGCTTGTTCTTACAGAGGACCCAGGTTCCCACATGGTGGCTTACAACCATCTGTACCTCTGGTTTCAAAGAATCTGATGCCATTTTCTGACCTTAGAGGGCACACAAGTGATACACAGACATGCATTCAGGCAAAACAGTATATACAAAATTTTTAATTAAATAAAAATATTTTTTTAAAAAGTTCAAATGCAAGACCACAGAGTAAATCTGTGCTCACAGCAAGCACCCTACAGAGCAAAACTGAGCACACCATAGACTTCAAGCTTCTGGCCAAACTCCAAAGATACACTTCAAGGACAATGTCATTTAAAAGATCAAAATATGATTTGTGATATCAAAAAGAATTGGAAAATACATCCCATTGATAAAACAATTTAAAACTATACTTTCAGCCACAAACTATGTGAGAAGAAAATTTCAAATCTATGATCTTCATATGATATATTTGCAATCATATTTATAACCCAGAAAGATGCATTTTTCCCATGATTCTTCCTAAAACTTGAAATTTCCCTGAGTATTTCTAAGTATCTCTCCAGAGTGGCAGCAGTAAACACTGTCTGAAAGGAAAACAAACACCAACACCAAACTGCAGTTGCCTGCATCAAGTCAGGGACCACTGTACTCCAAGTACTCAAAGCACTAAGCCTTTACAAACTGCTCTAAATAACATACGTAACTTTAAGCCAATCTATATGGCTTCCATATCAGAATACACCAATATCTCACTCAGAATGTATGTTAGCAGTCAATACCACATTATTCAATTACTCATTATAAAATAAAGTATATAAACAGTTCCCATTGATTTAAATATGACCCAGTTTTGGTGAGTTAATATTGAGTACCTGAAATTTTCTTCATCTTCATTATCGCTCTGTAGAAGATCATCATTCAACTCTTCATCTGACAAATCCGACTGATTCTAATTAAAACAAGAAATCTAATTAATGTGTGTCACTTTCCATAAAAAGACTTGTTACCAAGCACAAGCTTACTCTAAGAGGGTTGTTTCTAACCTCTTGTTGCTTGACCTCTTGCCGTCCAGTCTGGCATTGCCACAGAGAATCCAGAGAGCCCACATACCGCCTAGTGGCTAACCCCTGAGAAATTTTTAAGTGCCTCAGGCAAGTAAGTATCAAGCAGCAAGTATAATGATCAAATTTATTCTAATTCTGCCATAAAAGAAAAAGGTTAAGAAAGACATCTGTTTTTCCACCAAAATACTCAAAGAATGGCCTTAAAATTACTAACAATGACAAAAACAAAAACCTGAAATTTTTAAATAATGCGAGATACATAACCAAGATGTTTTTAAGATCACTGAGTTGGAAATTAACCAACTAGGAAAATAACTTTGGCTTCCCCATATAGATGACACGAGAAAACAAGCAACTCAGCTCTTTCATTGTTGCCTCTCATACCTAATTAATATGCAAAGGCAGCAGAGTGACTTGCTAGAGTTGGGAAATTCTAGGCTGGGTTAAATATGTCTCAATATTATAGATTGTGGAGTGGTTCAACTTTCCTCCTCTACTAAAAGTATTCCTATGTCTAAATGGGGTACACCCTTCCAAGGGGCAGTCAAATTCTCTCTCTCTCTCTCTCTCTCTCTCTCTCTCTCTCTCTCTCTCTCTCTCTCTGTGTGTGTGTGAAGAAAGAAACTGATTTTAATTTCTACTCCTTAAATGAACAATGATTCTGACATCTACAGCTTGCAAAAATAGGTTAAACTTGACAGTGTTTATTACAGTACTTCTAATAGTCAAGAATAATTCTAGGAAAATTTATTAGCTCAAGAGACCTCATCTATCTCTAAAGTCAAATAAGCTACCCAAAGCTATGCTTCCAACACAGCAGCATGGATCTGTATGAAACGAAAACACAGTAATTCACAGACCCCAAATAAATTTGCAATTAGTAATACAACCAGGCATCTAAAAGAGCCAGTTCTGACAGTGAAGCAAATACTACCCAGTAGCCATGTCTGCAATGGACAAACCTAAGTTCACTCTTCAATTCTACAAGTAAAACCTCAGGAAAAGCTTTAAAATTACTAATTCAGTGAACTCCAAGGAGGGCTGCTTCACTGTGCGTGAGTGCACACACACAAAAACACACATAGTTAAACTTCAAGGTGATAGCCGGGCGGTGGTGGTGCACACCTTTAATCCCAGTACTCAGGCAGAGGCGGTGGATCTCTGTGAGTTCGAGGCCAGGCTGGACTGACAGCCTCCAAAACAATACAGAGAAACCCTATCTTGTAAAACCAAAAAAAAAAAAAAAACTTCAAGGTGATTCTGTGTGTATGAATGCACTTGTGTATACTCAAGTACCAGTTCCAAAACCATTCAAGTAGTAATTTATCAAACAAGCAAACAAACAAAGCAAATGAAATATATGTTGTGATAGGTCCCAGTAATTGTCAAATCTCAGTTCCAAGGATCAAGCCTTTCAATTCCAAGCCTGTTGAGTAACAGACACTAGAGGCAGAAACACCCACTTCCTTGGAAGAGCTTGAATCCTCAAAGAGAAACACTAAAGCAGAGAAGCCAGAGATGGCTTTCAGCACATCCCACTCAACTAGAGAGAACTGTTTTTCAGGTAAGCAGAAAAGCTGGGAGAATTCTTCTCAGTCAAGAAGAAAGCAGGCAAGAGATACAGAGTGGCAGTGAGTGCTTGTGAAATCCTCTGCCTTATCTTCCCAGGACAATATAAAAAGGTTCCCTCCAAAACTCCTAAGAATGAGGATATCAGGGGTTTAAAGATGGGGACAAAAAGATCCTCAAACATTCTCCAAATTTGGCACTTACAGACAGAAACTTCTTGGTGTAGTCCAGACATGAGGCGATGATGCCAAAGTAAAACAGATAAAGGAAGTACTTAGAAACTATCTGCCTCACTCCACCTCAGTCTTCTTCCTCAGTGAGCAGCCTTGCCTTGCCTCTTCAGTACAATTAAAACCCAGCCCTAGAAGTTCTGTACTGCCGCAAAGGCCTACATGTCACTGTTACAGAGGAGAGCAGAGATAAGAGCAATAAACTTGAGAAAGGTCCAAATCTTACTAGAAATCAAATAATTATGAATTAAACAACCAACAATCATTAAGATTCATCACACTGACAAAGATTTTTTTTAAAGCACCATCAGATCTATGGAAAGGGAAGGTGAGAGACACCAAGATACCACTGTTAATAGGAACAAAAGCTAATCAAACATTCCCAGGAAGCAATTTGGCAATATAAAGAATCTTGAAATGCCTACACCCTGAGACCAGAACTACCGCCTGCCAGACTTCCAAAGATCCCTAAAGCACATTAAGATTTATACACTACAATGGCATATCTGAATGAAGCATGCTTCAAAATAACTCAGGAAAGAGTGACCGGGTAACACTGAAACAAGACCACCTCAAACTAAACACTGATGACACTAGGTAAAGCCCAACCAGAATGAGCTGCACCTTTCTCTCTTCCTTGTACACTCAGTTTCCACCCAAGAGTTTAACCTGAGTACATAACCTGGAGTCACCACAGAAACCGTCAGGGTAAGAGTGCTAGGGGAACAGAAGGACACAAGTGCTATGAAGGGAACGGATTGGGGGACAACTTATCTAGAGAGGGACAAGAGAGGACGATACTAAAGAGGGAGGATGACTTAAAAAGTCAGAGTAACACTTTACTATATGCTTACCTAAAAACACACATATATTGCTGGGTGTTGTGGAAGCAGAGACAGGCTCTTTGAGTCAGAAGCCAGCCTGGTCTACATACACTGAGTTTCCAGAACAGTCAGGGCTATATAGACTGACTATCTCCAAGAAAAAACAATGAAAACAAAAACATACATATATAGCAAGGATGAATATACATATATAAATAACTTGAATGAGATTACTCCACTAGGGGTGATAAGGCTCCTCCAAGAGCCATGCACTATATAACAATGCCAGTCATGGGAAATCTCCCTTCGATCAATAGGTCAGGAGAATCCAAAGAGACTCCCCAGACAATATATGCTTCTGTTATCACCCTTGGTTGCCTCCCAAAACTTAGTAAGATCCTATTGCTGAAAACATCATACACTTCCAAAAGAAAAAAGCTAGGACCAACTTAGAAGCCCCATCTCTGAGGAATAACTCTCCTGGTATCTAAAGGTACTATATAAACTGCCAATGGAGAAAAGTAATTAAAAATTCTACCCAGCTGTAAAGCATACAAATTACAATAATGACCAGCATGGCAAAATATACCCAAGGGTACAATAGTGGCACTTAAACCTCAAGGGTTACCAACAACCACCTAATTAGACTTAAGGCCTACTCAACAGGAGGAAACTCATGCATGAAAATTGTACAATTAACAACTAATATGTAGCTGGTGAGGTCATGGACCCTAGGAGGTCCTACTATTGCCACTTTCTTAAATCAGTATTTCTTAGGGTTTCTATTGCTGTGATGAAACACTGTGACCAGAAAGCAAGTTGAGGAGGAAAGGGTTTATCTGACATTGAAGTCCATCATTATACGGGATCAGGCTAGTACCTGGAGGCAGTAGCTGATGCAGTGGCCATGGAGGAGAGCTGTTTGCTGGTTTGCTCCCCATGGCCTGCTCAGCCTGCTTTCTTATGGAACCCAGGACCATCAGCTCAAGGGATTACAGCACTCATAATGGGCTGGGCCCTCCCTCATCAATCACTACTTAAGAAAATGTCTTACAACTAGATCTGATGGGGGTATTTTCTCAATTGAGGCTCTTCTTTAAGATAACTCTAGCTTGTGTTGACACAAGACCAATCAGCACACAATGTAATTCCCAACTTCATTCTAAATACCTATCCTTATATTCACAAGTAAATGTAGCTATCACCTCTCATCAAGAATAATTCTTTTAGCAGCTGACAAAGACCATTACAGAAATGTACAACTGGTCAAAATGCAGAAAACAATTGGGGTACCTATCCCCAATTGACACATCTACAACACAACTCCTATACTGAAGGTTCAGGGAACATCAGGGAAGAGAGGGTAAAAAGACTGTAAGTGACAGAGGACCAGGACATTAGCAATCAGACAGTGTCTTCTATATATGTCAGGGAGTTGTTGCCCCTGGATTCTTAACAATATGGTCATCTAAATAAGACCTACACAACGATAACCAGTAGATATCCCAAAGACGATGGGGAAAATCTTACAAGGCCCCATTCTAGAAAAAATACAAGGGCAATGGCTGTCAAAGAGAAAGAATTAAGGGACAAGCTCTCCTGATAAGTTATCTAATCATAAATCGCCAACCTTAAACACATATACATATAAACTATATGAACTCAGAGGGTTGCATGTAAGTGTGTTTAATTATCAGTAATAATTAAAGAAAGGATCTCAGTGAGGGAGGTATCAGAGAAGCTAGAAGGGGGAAGGTAGAGGGGGAATATTGTATATATAGTACTCATATATAAAATTCTCAAAAAATTTTAAAAGAACGTTTATTGGTGTTTTTAAAGTTGCTATGATTTAGACACTGCATAACTACTCCCCAGGATTCATGTGTTGAAATGGGGAAGATTGCATGAGCCCAAAACCAGGGGCACATAGGCTAATGATCAATACAACAGGAGAAGGGGGGATCTGACTGAGGAAGAACTCTAAGTCACATTCGATTATTAGAGAAAATACTGATGAGGCCTAAGAGTTTAACAGACAGTGACAGCAGGACAGGGATAACTCCACAAGTCTAAATGTACTATACTGCTTGAAATAGTCTTAACTGCAAGTATATTAAGCTTCAGTATAGTTCTTGACAATGTAAGCCCTAACAATTTTAAGATTTGAAAATGAAATTTAAAGAACTATGGTGAGGACCTGGGAAGAAAGCTCAATGAAGTGCTTACCACATAAGCATAACGACCTGAGTTTAATTCCCAGCACCATGTGACAGTCGGGTGTATCAGCAGCATGAACCTATAATTCCACCACTAGAGAGGTCAAGACAGAAGATCCCTTGGGCTCCCTGACTGGCCAGTCAGTCTAGCCAAAATGGTAAGCTCCAGGTTCAATGAGGAAATGTGTCTCAAAAATAAGGTGCAAAGGACACAAGACATGCAGCAGCAACCTTTGGCTTCCACATGCACACATCAGCACACCTAAGTACATACATACAAAATGCATAACCTTTTCCTCACACAGAAACACTTGTACACAATCACAAATACCATTTTTAAATTATTAAGTTAATATTACGTGAAGACAGAAAATGTTTTAAAACCATTCAGTGAACCAAAACAAAAATAAAATGTTAATCCACTTTAGGGGATCCAGGGGGGTGGATCAGTGAATTAGGTACTTGCCACAAGTGTAAGAGCCATAGATCAGATTCGCATCACACAAGCAAAAACTGAGCAGGCACAATGGTCCACTTGTAACCCAAGAGCTTGGCAGATGGGGTAGGTAACTAGCAAGAATAGCTGAATCAGCTAGTTTCAGGTTCAGCAAGAGACCTTGCTTCAATAGAGAGAAGAGTGACTAACATAGATGGAGATTGTCACCTCTGACCTTCACATATACATATGTATACCCAAACATGCAAGCACCCACACAAAAAGAGGAAAATAAAATTATCACTTTCATCTCTTGCTTCACATTCTAATTTCCACATGATTTATGAAACAGATTAGAAGTATATTTTAGGCAGATACACACATATAAAAAGTCCTAGAAAAGTTTCCACGAGAACTTCTAGCTGTATTTATATGCAGATCTGCTATGTATTATAGTTTGGCAAATCTACCTCAGTGAATACTCCCCATAGTAATATCCACAGCCACCTGCTGGGCTGGAGGAGTAACTCTAGGATAAAATACATGCTGAGCATTTGTGAAGCTGTGTTGTTGGCTATTTTACTGTTTTGGCTCTTTGTTCGTTGGGGACTCACCACCCAGCTCCCAAATAAATACACATGGAAATTTTTTATTACTTATGAATGCCCGACCTTAGCTTGGCTTATTTCTAGCCAGCTTTTCTTAACTTATTCTGTCTACCCTTTGCCTTTGGACTTTTATCAGTATCCTATACCTTTCTTTACTTTTTTTTTATTTAAATTAGAAACAAGCTTGCTTCACATGCCTTTCTTTACTTCTCACTCCATGGCTTGCTGTGTAGCTAGGTGCTGGCCCCTTCTTTTCTCATTCCTTTATCGAATTCTCCCAGATTTCCCTTCCTATTTATTCTCTCCACCTGCCAGCCCCGCCTATCCTTTCTCCTGCTTTGCTACTGACCGTTCAGCTCTTTATTAGATCAATCAGGTATTTTTGACAGGCAAAGTAACAGCTTCACAGAGTTAAACAAATAGGACATAAAAGAATGCAACACATCTTTGCATCATTAAACAAAACAAATGCTCTACAGCATAAAAAAAAATGGAACACATCTTAAAATACTATTCCACAATAGCTCTCAGTCAATCTACAGCAATAAAACAATCACTCCATCTACAAATTCTAGTCCATGCTCAGTTTCTGGAAATTCATCCCATGTACAACTAAGTGATGGTAGTATGCCCGTGTTTTATGTACAATTAAATAATTCTTCTAAGTGATCTTATTTCTTACCTTTTTTCCAGACAGTAAATCTTCTCCAAGCAAGTCATCTTCCAGTTCACTGGGGAAAGAGGAATGCAAAATGTCACTACTATTAGACTAGAAAATGAAAGTCACTCAGAAATCCAGTAAAGGCTCCAGGGAATTGGAACTTTCAGGTAGCTATACTACACTTTCCTTCCTCTACACAAATAAAGATATTTTCAAGGACACAGGGACAAGTCTTTGTCAGGTAAGGTCAGGCTCAATACAGAAGGTAGCTTACTAGACTTAAGCTGAAGTTCAGCAGCACAGTACAGTACTTTAATCCTTATGTAACTGCTTACTAATCAGCAAAATATGAAATAGATACAAAGGAACACCTAAGCTTTCTCCTACCTTTAAAAACTTAGGATATAAAGGAAAAGGTGCTCAGTATCACTAATCAATTAAAAAAACCCACAAGAAATAATCCAATATTCATTAAAGTAGCAGAAAACAAAAGGAATTTAAAATAATTGAGCTGAAGTGGTAGTTCAGCAGTTAAGAGCACCTCCGGCTTTTGCAGAGTTCAGTTCCCTGCACCCATGTCAAGCAACTCATAATCACCTTCAATTCCAGCTCTAGGGAAATCAAATACTCCCCTTCTGGTCTCCAAGGACACTACACTCACATCACACCATGCGTGTATGTGCATATGCATGCATACATTTTTTAAAATCTAAATTTAAAAGTACGTTATAAAATTATATGCAGTAACTAAGGCATGTGGTGTGGAAATCACAGTAGTCACCTACCATGTTTCCCAGCATGCTTTTGCACTGAAGTGACTAGGAGCAGATTTTTCTCCAGGCTCCAGAGGGAACCTTTAACACACCAAGAAGCTTGAAATACCTTCTACTGCATTTTTTCAATGTTTTTACTGTTCAGGGTTATGTAAGGCCATTTCCATTCAGGTGTACGATGTATTCCCACTCTGTTCCCTTTGTTCCACAGCAGTTCTATGTCTGCACTCTTAGCATCAGTACATATTGTGATACTATGTACATACAACATCTAGGCCCCCACAGCAGAGAAAACACATTAAAACAATATTTTTGATAAAAGAAAATGGCTATCACTAGATTGGGCTCTGGTTAACAAATTCTATTGGTTCTGAGATTAACACCAGCCCTAATTTACTATTTTAGCATGTTGCTGAACACAATACTAACAGCTCTACAAATGCAGAGATGCAGTTGTAAGAGACAAGCACACTCCTGTAAAGGGTCTTTCAGAACTAGAAACAACCTGACAAATCATTCAGTTCACATGCTAGGCTCTGTAAATTACCCTGTAATTAAGTCTCATACCCTCATTTCACAAACAGAAATATGGACAAGACCTTCCAAAGGTCACACAAATGAGAGATACAAGGCAAGGACTTCAAAAACCACCTTTCTAGCTGGGTTTGGTGGCACATGGTTTTAATCCCAACACTCGGGGAAGCAGGGGCAGATGAATCTCTGTGGGTTTAAGGTCACCCTGGTCTACAAAGAAGAGTTCCAGGACAGCCAGGACAGAGAAACCCTGTCTCGAAAACAAACAAAACCACCTTTCTGACTTCTGCACAGTTCCTCCCAACATTTTAAAGCCAGTAACATCTGGGATTTAATTATTTTCTATGTTACATTCCTCCTTCGAAGGCAGGAAAAAGAGCTGCCAGTCAATGCCCTGATTCTACATGACCAAAAACATGCAAATACCTCTTTGAAACTGAGTATCCCTCCATGGCACAGCTTTAAGCAATGGAAAATGGAAGGCAATAGCACATTCCCAACACACACTAATTGGGATGGTAATAAGTTCATAATTACAACAAAAACTACAAAGGATATATGCAACTTTTGCTAACAAGCAAAAGCATTTGAAAATATGAAACCAACTTTTAATGACTATTTAGTTGTCAGTCACCTGGCTACATATGACAGCATGGCCATTGCTTCAAAGTCCAGTCTCCTGCCCTCCTGGCTCCTGTCCACTTTGCCCCTTTCAACCCATTCTGGACAGCCTATGTCCTCCAGAAATGGCTCATACAAGCTGTCCTCACCCCTGGCTTCTGGATTCAGTCAAACTAACGGAAAGCACCTTGAGAAATGTCACCAAGCAGAAAGGCAGAAATCAGCCCCCTTACCCCCACCCCCAATCCAAGGCAATATAAGGACAGCACCACTACCACAGCTTCCCTGGCTCCCAAACCTGCCTTCCCCTGGGGCCTGGGTAGGAACTATATTGTATTCTGGCTTACCTAAATAAACATTCATTAAATGATTTTCAGTTAAGACTTTCTCAGTGTGCTCCTGTCTTGCTTGAACTAGAGTTTTTTCAGATGCTGAGCCAGCATCACAGAACTATCTTGCAATCTCCACTGATGCAACATGAGAGCAGGTTTTTGTAACAATGACTCTTCCAAACTTCTAAACTTCTCCATATGCAAGCAGGCAGAAGGTGTTTTATGCTTAAACAGTATCAAAAATATGCATAACACTGAATCTTAAATGTGCAAACATCTTACTGCAAGCCATGTGGGAACAGAAGCTGGTTCATAAACAGAGACAACTGCTACCCATACTGAGAGAGTAATAAAACCAGGCTGCCTTACACCATGACCAAAACCAGCACAGCAGGGAGGGAGGGAGGAAGCTGCTAAAAACTATAGATGCTAACATCAGACAGACTCAAGAGCCAACCTGGATAAATTTCGACTGAGGAACCTATAAGACAATCTGACTGCCACTAAAATCATAACTATAGCAAATTAAAACACAACTGATGTTAAGAGTCTATGACTTGCCCGGAGGTGGTGGCACACGCCTTTAATCCCAGCGCTCGGGAGACAGAGACAGGCAGATCTCTGTGAGCTCCAGACTACCCTGGTCTACAAGAGCTAGTTCCAGGACAGCCTCCAAAGTCACAGAAAAACCCTGTCTAGAAAACCAAAAAAAAAAAGAAAAAGAAAAAGAAAAAGAGTCTATGACTTAAAATTATTCCAAAACAATGCTCAGGAGTGGAAGATGTTCAGTTAATTACTTTGGAAATGGACAAATGAAAACCTGTCTCGTTTGTGCCTTGTAAGAACTTCCTAGTGAATAGACACATTACAGGAAACAAACCACTGTGACTACTTTAAGTTCTCCAGAAGTGGAGGGACATGACAGACACAAGAGACTTCCACATACCTTTTACTAAGACCTCAATGTAAACAACCTCTACACCTACATTCATTTACATAACACAAGGGTATATACTATCTAAAAGTAAGCAGTCAAGCATAAATCCTAGAAAATACAGTGTTGTGTGTCTTTCACAAAGAACTAAAGGCTTCAGTTTTGATAAGTGGCCTCCAAAGGCCATTGACTCAGTTAAAGACATGGTCTCGAGGGTGGTGCTGGTGAAAAAAAGGAGACTGAGGAGACAAGGCCTAGTGAGAGGCTACTGGAAGATTCACAGCGGATGGTGAGACGTGGATATGATCCTGGTTCATAATATGAGTGGTTTTATTTGACATATGCAATGGGCCACTCCATCATTAACTAGAGCCTCCTAAACTATGAGCCAAAACACACAACTTCCTATGGTAACTGTCCAAGCACTTCACTGTAATAACAGAAAGAACCAACACTTTAAAATACAGACCTTTATTTGGATATAATTTCAAACAACAGGAAAGTAGTTATGTACCTGCACTATATGAGAATATACTGACACGGGCACAAATGCAAACATAAGAGGTAATAGGTGAAATATGAACATTAGCTAGGCATGAGTAAACAGGGATCTTTCTTGGACTCAAGGTGGGTCTATGTGTAAACACTCTGTATTATAAGAAATCATCAAGTGTTTCCAGGTAAAACTACATCTGATTTGAAGGGGTTGCAGATTGTACAGACAAAAACTGATAATCACTCAAGTTGGGTTCAATGTTCTATATTATACTTTCACGTGTGCCTGAAAGTCTGAATAAAAAGTTAACTATCAATTGGTGTAATCAATTTCAGACAATTGTACTCTGTTAAACACTCAACTTTGCTAGAACCATATAATTTATAAGGTGTGTTATATTTATTTATGCTTTGGAACATTTGTTTAATGATGTAAAGATGTGTTGCTTCTGTTTATGCTGCATTTGTTTAACTCTGTGAAGCTGTGATTCTTTGCCTAAAACACCTGGTGGTCTAATAAAGAGCTAAACAGCCAATATCAAGGCAGGAGAAAGGATAGACAGGGCTGGCAGGAAGAGTATAGACAGGAGGAGAAATTTGGGAAGGGAGAAAGAACAAAATAGAACAAGGAGAGGAGGACGTCAAGGGACAGTCACCTAGTCACCCAGGCAGCCACGGAATAAGAGTTAAAGTAAGATACACAGAAGAAAGAAAAGAAGCCAGGTGGCGGTGGCGCACACCTTTAGTCCTAGCATTGGAAGGCAGAAGCAAGAGGATCTGAGTTCGAGCTTGGTGGCAGACCCCCAAAGGAGCTAAGAGCCAAAAAGTAATAAAGAAAACAACCAACTACATTCCGCCATCCACCCACACAAATAAGATACATCTCTTTCACCCACACCCTACCAGTCCTTTCTCTAGAGTCCTAACCGATACACTGAATGAGTCAGGAAAGGCTAATCAACCTTATGTTGACCATCCAAGACTTCCCTGTAAACCATTCTGTAACCTTCTATAAGCACTTGTTCTTAAAATCAGCACGGAACCATAGTGTGTGTATTTGTTCACTCACCTCAGCACCTAATACAGGCAGCCTGTGTACCTCTAGCACTCCTCCTCTAAAAGCAGGTCCCCCCCTTAGAGGCACCCACCACACTGAGTTGACATGAGTCATCACCAACTGTGTTTCACTGTGTGTGCAAGTGTGGACTACTAAGCAGGTATGTTCACCTAACACAACTAGTTAGAGAAATGAAATTAAATCAGTACATATTAAAATGGCAAAAAAGTGTAACGTCTCAGTAACTACTAGGTAGGCAGGATATACAGCAAAAGATCATTATGGTTATAATGCTGTTCAATAAACAGAGAGAAAAGCCTTGGGCAGCAGATCAGTACCCATCCCAAGTATACACACGGACTTTGGACTCCAATAGAACAATGTGAGGCGCACTCTCACCCTGAACTCTTGGGAAAGGGTCTAGGCCCTGCCCTATATGAAATGACACACTATGGACACCCCCATGGAGGGCCTCACCCACCCTGGAGAAATGAGGGGATAACGGGGGGGGGGGGGGTTGGGGGAAGGGCACGGGAGGAGGGGAGGGAATGGGAGAGGGACCTGGAACTGACTTGTGAAGCAACCTTGATTCTTATCTAAATTTAAACTGGAAAATAAAATTTAAAAAATAAATAAATAAACAGAGAGAAAGAAAGCTCATGATCCACACACAGCTACCTACAACACAAGCTTGGATCAGGCAGGCCCTGGTGAGGCCTTAAGAGACCCACCATCAGCCCAGCAGGGAGGCTGGTGTAGGACAGGACACCAAAGAGCCCCCATACTATCTCTGGTAAAGACCTCTGTATCCAGCAGAAGATCACAGACACCACCCTGGTACCCAGGGAAGCAGTGTGCACACACCTGTCCCAGTCCTCATCGGCAGCTCTTCTTCTCCAGGACCGCTCTGCGCCAGGCTTGTCAAACTGGTCAAAGTCATCATCTGTGGAAAAGAGTCCACTCAAGTCAGTCTTCTTATGTCAAGACAAACAAAAGGCAACTAATCAGCTAGGATACCAGCTCCCTCAGGAACCTGCTTAACCCCAGATACAAGTTCCACAAATAGCTATCATAAACCCTCAGCCAAGCTGAAACTTACTGTTGTTTTAAATAAAATAAAAGCAATCCAAAAATTTATTGAATACTAAGTATGAAAATTCAGTGACAACAGCATTTTTTAAATTATAATTTTGTTACTGCATAAAGGGGGGTGATTTGTTAAAAATTAGGGACTCCTATAATAATTTTTCAGCCTTCACATTTTCTAAGTAACAGAAATAGAATGTAAGGTACATAAAATTTTTCTATCTATTGGTCACATTTTATTAAAAGTAAAAACTGTCAAACCTAAAGGGACAAAATTATTTGGGGGGGGGGGGGGGGGCAACAGTGGTGCACGCCTTTAATCCTAGAACTCAGGAGGCAAGAGGCAGGCAGATCTCTGTGAATTCCATGACAGCCTGGTCTACAGAGCGAGACCCAGGACAGAGAAACCCTGTCTCAAAAAACAAATTAAAAAAATTTAACTGTATTGTTTTCACCTTGGTATATCCAAAGTTTGCCCACTGAGGCATAAATCAGAACAGAAGGCAGCAGTGGTGTTTTGCTTCATAGGAAGTCCTAAGTGCGTATTTTACACACAGAGCACAGATCACATCTCAACAAGGCCGGAGGCTGCTGAGACAGCTCAGGAGAGCATCAGAAATAGAGCCGGGCGTTTAATCCCAGCACTCAGGAGGCAGAGGCAGGCGGATCTCTGTGAGTTCGAGACCAGCCTGGACTACCAAGCGAGTTCCAGGACAGCCTCCAAAGCCACAGAGAAACCCTGTCTCAAAAAAAAAAAACCAAAAAAAAAAAAAAAGGAAAATCTATCATTTACCTCACAAATTTGCTGGAAGTTTAAATTTGACAATATCATATTATGATAGTTATTTTGTTAGGAAACACTAAGAACTGAATTGGTTTTCATGTGACATGCTGGGTGGGATGAGGGGACGTTGCAAAGAAAGAGGCAGCAGTTGGTCTGTTCAGAGTTCACCCAGGCCTAGAACACTTGGGTGACACAAATTCCAGTTGCCTAGGGCATTTCTCTAGCTCAGACTGGAAAATTAACCACTAAGGTTCTAACAAAACCATCAATCACATTCAACCCTTACCCAGACTGGACTCCTGAAGACCCTGATAAAAACCGTTCTTAGCTGGGTGTAGTGGTGCACACATTTAATACCAGCATTTGGGAGGCAGAGGCAGCTAGTTCTGTGACCAGCCTGGTCTACACAGTGTAAGTTCCAGAACAGCCAAGGCTACAATACTAAGACCCTGTCTGGGAAAAAACCCAAACCAAAATAAAATGTCTTTTAAAAAGGGACATATAAAGTCACTGAGAAGATTCTAAGGACAAGTACCAAATAAAAGATACATATTATAGAAATTCACTGTGTTTGTTCAAAGCTGCAGTAGCAAGAGACACTAAAGGTTAGCACCTCTGATATCTTTCTCCCACCCCAACCTACCTTCTGATGAGGCTCAGCTGTAGGGGCACACCAGGGGAAGGAACCCTTCTCCCACACCAAGACCCAGTTCAGAGACACTCCAACTCAAATATCCCTACTGAAGAGGGAAACAGAAGCTTCACAGCTGGGGGGGCGGTGTGTGACAGGCAGTCAGCAAAGGAATCAACAAGCACAGAACCGTAAGAAACCCAGGGAGTAGGGAAACCAGCACCCACACCCACTCCAAGGTATTATCTCAAATGCCCATTTCCAGGAAGAAAAAAAGGGGGGAGGGGGCTATAAGCCACTGTTGTGTAGCAGTTTCCTCAAGATTGAAATGGTTCATTAAGGGAAAATCCTTAAGCCAAAGGTAAGTAACTCAAAGTAGCTTCAGAAAGTCCCTAGAACTGACCAGATTCACTAGTCCCTCCCTCTCAAGAGTAAACAATAAAGACTGCTGAGAGTCACTCTCAGACAAGTCAAATTGCAAAGATTCTCAGACCAGTCAAGCTGAAAATAATCTTGAAATCAGACCAGACCAGGTACCCAGAAAAGGTTCCCACATACTGAACTGCCTGAAGGCTGTGTAATGTGAGCTCCAGGTGCTCAGCTTTTGTGGACTGTCACCCAGGCTGGGTGGGGTGGGTTTTAATGACTCTTTTGAGTCACTTCTGCTTCTGTAAGAAACCTCTCTCACTCATATTCCTGTAAGTTACCCCCATTAAACTCAGTTGTTCACCAAGCTGGATTTTGGTGGTAACCATACTTTGATCTGTTGTGATTTTCTGAGGAAGAGGAGAGAGAGAGAGAGAGAGAGAGAGAGAGAGAGAGAGAGAGAGAGAGAGAGAGAGAGAGAGAGAGAGAGAGAGAGAGAGAGAGAGAGAGAGAGAGAGAGAGAGAGAGATTGTGTGAGAGTGTGTGTGTGTATGCGAATTTTTCCTCTCTCCAGGAAGTCTTATAGCACAGCAGACATATAACCCTTTATATATACGGGATGGGGGGAAGCAGGCAGCAGAAACAACTTGTGAGGGGCTCATAAAAACACTTAAGTAGCTATCACAGACATTTATGTTCAAGGAACTAGATGATCCACAAGAATCAAAAAGTAAGGTAGCAATGCCACAGCAAAGAACAAATAGAGAAGTAAACCATCACAAAACCAAATAAATCTTGAAATTGAAAATAACAGGAGGGCTGGCAAGATGGCTCAGCAGAGGTAAAGGTGCTTGTCACTAGGCCTGAAGACCAGAGTTCAAGGCCCCAGAAGCCACACAAAGATGGAGGGGAAGAAAAAAACTTTTGCAAGTTGTTCTCTAACGTGCTCTCTGACCCGTGTGCACATAGGTGCATACACCGCAGGTACCAGGCATGGTGGCTCACATGTTCACATGCAACACTAGCACTCACTTAGGAAATTAAAGAGGTAAACTGCCGTAAATTTGAGGTCAGCCCACGATATGAAGTAAGCTCTAAGACAGTCAGGGTTACAGTGTGAGACTTTGCCTCAAACAAACAAAATTCATTTACAACAGTCAAAAAAGCAGATTCATGCTGGCAAAATGGAAAATAACATTAAATGACCACTACTGCAGAAAATTTGGACCATCACTATCCCATTAATATAAACACAAAAGACATACCATTAGAAGGGTACAAAGGAGCAGAGTACAAAAAATCTGAAGACATGGCTAAAAACTTCCCAATTTTTTTATTTATTTATTTATTTGTTTATAGAAGATCAGCCTTCATACCTCAAAAAGCACAGCAAATTTAACTTACAACACAACAGACACACATACCAGTTAAAATGTCCTAAAGGCAAGGAGAAAATCTGGACAGCAGGAGAGGCCTTGTCACTAGAAGGTAACCACAGAAAAGATGGCTCATCATCTACTTCATAAAAGGATGATGGGCATTGAAGTTCACTTTCATTGTGGTAAAGCTAGCCAAAGAACAACAAAGTGCCCTTGCCTCAACTGCCGACACTGCACAAACTGGACAAGCAGGACACAAAGGAGAAAGACTGCCAAAATTTGCCAAGATAAGGTGGGACAGTCCTTCAAAATTCCTACTTCACAGAAACGTCTGTCAGATACACTAGGCCTGGAGGCCAAAGATGGACATCCCAACATTGCAAAGGAACCTTGGGTGCCTGTCCAGGCATCCAGCTGTTTCTGTCATTTCTAATGTTTTGGAAGTTTTGCACTGTACTTCCGGTTTACTAAGATAAGATAATATTATATCCTTCTAGAGTTTCTGATGGAGTTGAAGATGAAATAGTTATAGTTTCTGTTTTCCTTGTTACTAAATTCAAAAATGAAACTCACAAGAGTTATAAAGTGTATAAAGTTGAGAAACATAAAAAGCTTAAATTGTTTATCTAAGAAAATGTTTTAAGGTTTAAAAAGATATTTTTAGGTTGACAATGTAAGTTATGATAGAAAGTAAATGAAGAACAAAACCTTGGACTCACCAAGCTAGGATAGATAATGGAGTATTTTCACTCAATGGACTAGATATTGTAAATGTAATTCTTACTTGATCATTGTTTTTATTGTTACTGTGTTAAGAGTTAAAACCCTTTCTCTTCTATTTAAATAAAAAGGGGGAAATGATGCAAGATTAAAAAAAGAAAAGAAAAGACGGCTCACCATCAGAACCAGGAGCTGGGATTGCAGTAGGGTAACAGAATTCGGAATGCCTTATATCCTATAAAACTATGCTTCACAGAGATGAAAATAACATGTACAGATAACCACAAACAAGGTCTCTGTTGCTAACAGATTCACAATAATTGAATCATGTCCTACAAAAAGATGTGAAAATTACCCCATTACTGTTTTAAAAATAAGATGAAAATGATTTCAAGTTGAGATAATACTAGACATTGAGAGGACACTAAACCAATGGGTGGTGTCCTTGTGAGAAAAAGATTTGGAGATAAGACACACACAGAAAAAAGGACCACGTAAGACCAGTGACACTTTTAGACTAGTACTGAAAGGGTATGTTAGCCAGATCCCCTAGGAACCTTCCAGTCTCCTGACTGTAAATCAGTTTCCACCAAGCTACCCACTTTTGTGCTATTTAGACATGCAGATTTATACTTTGCAACTGAATCTGGGAGGTTACTATCCTTGTCTGCCATTCCCTGCTCTCTTGGATATGTGTATGTGTTTAGGTATACACTTTAAAGTGTCCCATGAATTCTACAGGTTTCCCCCCCTTCTTCATTAAAAGGATACTCTCACAGAACTCCACATTTGCTCAGTCTCCTACTGAACTGTCTAGAGACTATTTCAGAGATTGTATTTTTTAGTTCTAGAATTGCCCCCTGCTTCCTCTTTGTAATGTATCTTTACTGGTCTGTCCTATTTTCTGAGAATGTTGTCCTCCAGAATTTTTAGTGTATGCTTGTTCATTTGTCTTGGTTTCTTCTTTTGTGGCCTAT